GATCCTACAATGATACATCTAGTGAAAGGAAACTAACTTATTTGTCTCTATTTTGTTTCATGAGAGAAGAACTTGTGTCTCGTTGCAGCTGCTTTTTCCTTAGTTGTGGAACTTTGCATGGAGTATTGTTTCCTGTTTGAAGACTGAGAGGTGGGGATTTGGACTTGAGACTTTTTACAGGGTTAACACACCATTAGCTTTGCACTGCTGCGTTATTTGCAGGTCTGTGGTGCAGTGCTTTGCTGCAGCTTTTTGTTTCCATCCCCCCACCCAGTTTCTGCTTTAGTACTGTAGATACACATACACAGGCTACTTGTCCAAGTAAAGTCACCAGAAGTAAACCAAGTGCCTAAGTCCTCCAGCTAATGTACTAGGTATTGATCTCCCCAAGTTATACATGAAACAATTGTCAACCATTCTGAGAGGTTATGCACTAATGTAATAGCATTTTTTTTTTTATTAATAGTTCTCAACTTGCAGATTATAGAATCCAGATGACTTGGCAAAAAGTATCAGGTGCTCTTGGCTTTCCTTTGAAAACCCTGTATGTAGTGTTTGCACTGACTAACAAGATGGTATTGCTGTTTTTGTACTGTTTTGTTTTTAATTTAAACTAAATATTGGGAATTTAAGGCAGTTATTACCTTTTGTTTAATGTTGTTAATCATTATTTTGTATTCAGGTTTAATTTTTGCTTGTTCAGTGGCAACTTATTTTCAAAGACCTTGAAAATACAATAATATAGCATTATCTGACCTTCAGAGTACGGAAAAGTGTATGAATTTATGCCCTGTTAAGATGTGACTGAGAATCATGTTAGACATGTCAACTGAAAAGAGTTTTTCATAAATACACACAAGGTAGAGCCCTGGGCATATTTTTTTTAAGAAGCTTAAAAATTGACTTTTTTTCAGAAAAGAAAGCAGGACTCTCCCTCCTGATAATTACTATCTTGTTTGTCCTCTTACTTTTCTTTGTGACGAGTTTTACTTTTTTTTATGTTTTATTAACTTCTGTGAAGTTGTTTACTCTGAAAATTGTACTGGAATATTTTAAGCCAAGCTGATCTTTCACCAGGTGTACTGCATGTAAGGGCTTTTCCTGCTAGCAAAATGCTTAAAGAGGATCATGTTACTGGTCGTCTGAGTTGTTATTTTACAAAATCACAGCTATGTGGTCGGGTAAGATTTTGATAACTGTTTTGTGCACGTTTCTGGGGGGTGGGGGTTGGCGTTTCCCTGAGGGTTACTGATTAGACTAAGTAAATATTGGTGTTTGATATCTCTCCTAACGAACCTGTCCATGAAATAATTATGTTGTAAATATACCTGAAAATCCAAGGGTTAGTTTTGATATTCTGGTGTCAGTATGGAAGATCTTACACATCTATTTAATACTCAAATGTTAAGGAATGTATGTAGAAAAACAGTCAAGTAGTCTTCTAGTGTTCTCTGGCTGTTGCTGTACCTTCCTATAGCCAGTGCCACCTCATAGCTAGGATTAGATTGATGCTTTGTTTCACTTGCAACTCAAAGTGAATGGATACAAGAACCAGACCACCTTTGTCACCTTAACTTATTTCCTATTGATGTTAAATTTAACTTAGAATGTTAGACATAAATATGATTGTTGTATATTTTATACCAAGACCATTCTGTAAATATGAATTTATATTACTTTTGAAATGCTTCTGAGATACTATTATTTGCTGTACAATGTAATTCCAAAACAGATATGCAAACAAGTATGTCTCTTTCATGGATATTTAAACAGTGAGATCTTCCATGTTGAAGGTGATGTAATTTTTTTAAAAGATTTTTAAATTTTAAATTGCTATTTTGTTACAAAAATAGAGAAAATATAAAGGTTTGAGAAGTCCTTATTTGCCCTCAGGGAAAGAGCCCTCTGTGCACCAGAACTCCACAGAACATCTTCAGCATGATCTGAGGGTGAATATATACTACATAAATTGATTGTGTATTTACCTTAACTTTTTAATTTTAAAATTGCAATTTTAAAAACTTGGTTGTGCTCTGCTGGAGGGGGATTGGGATAAGCTGCTTACACACATTTGCCTGTTTGTCCAGTGAAGTTACATAAGCCTAACATATTCCTGCCAACCATATTGGCGTATTTAAGAACAAATGTATCTATATACTCTTGTCTGCAGCAGGAGGTCCCATGATAATAGTATTTCTCTAGGATGACCATACACTTCATATGGAAAGTTGGTTCTTAACTGAGGCTAGTTATTTTCTCAAATTTTTAATATAGAGAATGAAAGGCAAAAAGTTACATGGGGGTTTAAATAGCATGTCAGCTTTTGTCTTGCAGTTTTAACACTGACTATGTGATTTTTGCCATGAAACTATGCCCTCCAGTGCCCTGACAAGTAGAAGCTACAGGTGGGAACCTAGTTCTGGCTTTCTTCTTTGGTGGAGTTTCATCCCTTGACCCTATATAAACAAGTATGTATTCATTTGTCTAGTTGCAAATCAGGTGCCTTTGGGCTACGGAAGGGCTTATTTTCTGACACTGAGATATAGTGACTAATCTTCGTGCATTAATAGCAGTGATTCCCATTTAGGTTTTGGCCTTTGCTGTCAGAAAAAAAAAAAAAAAGGCCCATAGCAGATTGGGGAAAAGAGATTGGCTCTTTTGCTTTGCTTGGACAAGCATTTTTTATTATTTTTGGTTTTGTTTGTTTTTCCCCACCCCTACTAGGGGTACAGCAGGGATTTCACATGCAAGAGATACAGGAGTTATTAGTATCTAAGTTAATTGTGTTGCCTCACTACCTGGATTCATTCCTTGTTTTGCCTCATTTCCCACATAGGTCTTAATAGAGACTAATGCTTGTGCTGGGAGAATGCTTGTGTGAAAAGTAGTTATCTGTACATTCTTAACGTGTAATTATAGCAGAGTGATCGCCCTGCTACTGATATTTTGTTCCTGTAAACAGGTGACAAGAAATGAATCTTAGTGTTTATGCAGATTTTGCATTGTAGAATGTATACTAGACCCTTCAAAGGAAAGGTTAGACTCTTTGCAAAGCAAACTGGCGTTGGTTCTTGGTAGTCTAGTACAGGGACGCTAAAGTTTGACACTTGATTTCAAAGAAGAAAGATTGTATACAGCTGATTATGTTAAATAAGCTCTTCATTGCTCATTGTATAAGTCTAATTTGGGAGGTTTTAGTGCTTTGATAACATGATTGAGATTTTAATTTATCCTGTACTCAAGAGCTGAATGCTGTTCTTGTATAATAGTGTACTAGGCTGGATGAGGTACAAAATAATACACAGCGGTCATAAACAGCTGAGGAAAGAACACTTAAAAATAACTATCTAAACTCAGAATAGTTCCAAACATGTTTTCTGTTTGCTTTCTTAAAGCACAAGTTGTCAAGTTGTACCTGTTGCTGTACATAAACACTGTATGCCAGCAGCTCCTTGATCATATTTGTGAACAGATTTTTCATTATTATTAGACTTATTAAAGGAAGATGCTGAATTTGAGAGTGTAACAAAATGAGAAATGATCGACATATAGTATGTAAAAGTCCATTATTTATGTTGTAGCTTAATCCCTTTTGTTAGGTAATTCCCTCTAATTGAGGGACCTCTTCTGCAAGCAGAACACAAATGTGCTTTTTAAATGACCCAATTCTCCAGTATAAATGAACAGCTAAAATTGGCAGTAGTCGTCACTGTATCTCTTTGCTTGCAAGGGAGCACAACGAGGGAAAAGAACTAGCAGTGATGGGATAAAAACAAATGTGAATATTCCAAATTCCCTGTATCGAACCGTAGCGCTACACCCCGTTACTTGAGGAGTAGGTTTGTGGAAGCTTTTAATCAGTCAAGAGGTTGCTGTAAAAGCTGAAATAAAACAGAGCCTGCATTCACTACTGCCAAAAGCCAGGGTCATTTGCACATAGCCCATCAATTTATCCAGAGTAGATCTCAGTTAATCCAAGGCATGGAAATGCATGCATTTTCTTAGCTGGGCAAACAAGTACATTATACGGTAGTTGTGATACAACACACGTGGCTTTTATTTGTACTGCACATACCCACTGTACAGCCACTCAGAAGTATTGTGGTTAGCTTGCAGCATCTGCTGTCCGCATTTATACTGTTTACTGCGTATTCTTTTCCCTGGAAGTTTTAAGGAAATTTTTTTTCTTGTTGCATTGATTACATTTTATAAATTTGCTTAGCTGGAAAGTTTGGGAAAAGAGGCCTGTTTGTCAATTGTACAACCGATTGTGAAGCTCTAGTGTGAATATTTTTACGTCTGTATTAGACATTTTCTTTGCAAATCTATTGTTCGATTGAAATGTAAATGAAATAAAAGATGGTGTACACCCATCATGTATAAAGCAGGCACCATCGCTACGATGGATTTAATGCTCATTTTTATGGCGCATTCTCAGCTTCTATTTAAAACTATAATTTAAAATCTGTAAAATGAAATGGGGTTATATGGGGGAGTAAATTCTATTCCGTTTATTTCGGTTTTATTCCCGACTTGTACTGTTTCCCTTTGTGTTAGAAGTAGGGCAGGGCCCGGCGGGGCGCTCTGTGCGTGTTTGCTGTAGCACTGAAGTGAAGAGGTTTTAGCTTTGGCTGGTCACAGAGTAGAGCATCATGGTTTTCAGTGTTTGAGAGAATCGATGGAAGAAGTTTGCAGTATTGACATGTATTTGCATGCACAAATAAAAATTATTTGTCCACCTTCACCGCCTCCGTGCCTCAACCCGGGGAAGGGCTGTGGGGGGGAGGGAGGAGGAGGAGGTGGTGCGGGCCCGGCTCCCCCCCGCCGCGCGGTGGTAGCGCCCGGGCGGGCCCAGTCCCTGCCCGCGGGGTGGTGGCGCCCGGGCGGGTCCATTGGGCCGGGGGAGGGGGGGGGGTGCGGCCTCCGCTGCTCCGCCTCCTTCCCGGCCTGCCCCGCGCGTACCGGAGCGGCCTCGGCTGGCGGTGAGGGGGCGGCGGGGCCGGGGCTGGGGACGGGTGGGGACGGGGGGGGCAGCGGCCGCCTCACGGTAATCCGGGCGGTAATCCCGGTAATCCCGGCGGTAAACCCGCAGCAGGCACGGAGCGGGCCCCTCAGGCGGGTCCCCGCGGAGCAGCGCTGCGGAGGGGGGGCAGGAGGCTGTGCAGGTGGCGGCCGTTGCCTCAGCGGCCCCGTCCCTGCCAACAGGAGCCGGCAGCGCCGGGACCATGGCAGCCGCGGAGACCTCGCCGGTGGTGCCCTGATCCGCAGCGCAAATCCCAGGTCGGAGCCGTCAGCACCGAGCGTCTGCCTGGTTTGTCCCGGTATTTAACACGTATGTGCTTCCTGTTCCAATAACGCGGCTATTTTTAACAGAAAAAGCGGTTGTGTTTTCTCTAAACGTCTTTCCTGCCGTGCATTTCCTTGTGTAAATGCATGGACTGCCTGCAGAAGTTCTCATGGGTTTGTCTTCAACAGCTTGAATTAATACAACCTGAAATCTCTGCCTCCAGGTTTTGTTGGAAGCTTGTTTCTGAGAGACTGGAAAGGAATAAAGGTCAGAACATTTGAATTTGGTTAATTACAGTGAGTGTTTCTTACCTTAGAGGAATCATTGTTAAAATAATTCAAATAATATTGGAAATTAAAATGTAAATAATTAGGAAATCAACCTAATGGAGCTGTCTGATTGGGGCTTTCAAGACTCCCAAGTCACGGTTAGAAAATTCATTCTCCATGGGTAAAAATATTTAGATATATACTAAAGTACACTGTAGTGCAGAAACAGCTTTTATAACAACATTTTTTTAGTAGTGAACCTCAAAGCTATGTTCATAAATTTTTAACTCAGATACATTTGAAATTGTGACCAAGAATTAACCCATGACTGACTGCTCTGTAGATAGTGGACCATTACCTTCTTATGTGGCTAAAAAAAATGTGAAAAAGTAGAGTACAATTGTTACACGTTTTGAGGAGTGTCTTGTGCCGCATGTTTGAGTAAGAGAAATGTCTGTTTTGTTAATTTATTTTTTAGAACATAATGACTGCTTTGGATGATAAACTACTTGGCGAGAAGCTCCAGTATTATTACAGCAGTAGTGAGGGTGAGGATGAAGACAGTGAGAAAGAAGATAAAGAAGGGGAGAGCTCCATTCCTGAAACTGTTGGGGAAATAGAGCTCAGCAGCGATGGAAGTGCAGTCAACACAGGTATTGTTATATCAAGCTAACTGTTTTGCTGATACTTTGCTTATTGGAAGTTTTGTGTGTTTGTTGGTTTTTTTGGTAACGAAAGTCCTATTTTCGTGTATACTCAAGTCAGAGATTGATCATTTCCTGGCTATAGTCTAACCGTAGTTAGTAGCTGGTTCTTTATTCTAGCGTTTGCCTTACCCTTTGAGGGCTTTGGCTTTATATCTAGGGCAGTTAGTCTCTGCAGACTAAAGAGGTTTATACAATTTGGCTGATAATCCAGAAATTTCTTTCCTGTAAGCCACCAGTTGTTAACCACTAGCAGTCCTGATGTGACAGATGTAGGTGCTGAACAAGTATGGCCAGGCTCTGCTAAAGCAGCATTCTGTACGGGCACTGTCAGAGGCACAGTACTGGTCTTTGCAGACAATTGGTGGGATGCAGAGGGTATTTTTTACATTCTTGTGAAATACTGGCCCTCTGTATTTCACAGTGTGTTTTCTAAGAACAATAAAAAAAACTTTCTTGCATGTGTTTCCATGCATCACCTGAGAAGGAAGAATGGAAGCATTACGGTACTAAACTGGCATATTTAGAGAGGACCTGAAAAAGTACTTCTTTCCACAGGGCCCCAGCAGCATGGTAGCACATTGCAAGGTGAAGTCTGTGAGAATTAACGCTGTTGTATGTCACAGAATGTACTTCTGTACAGGAATATCGCTTGATTATAGTTTCCCATCACATTCTTTTTGTTCTTATGAAAAGTCACACAGTAGTGGAATTCTTGAGGGCTGGTGATTCTATTTCAAGAGCCCAGATATTAATCTTTGAAATAACCTCTGGGACAATAATGAGAGTAGCCTAGTTAGATAAGCTTTAGTCTTCCCAGATGTACCAAAAAAAAAAAAAAAAAGATAACCCAGCACCCAGATACAAACTCAAGGACGTGTAAATGGCAAGTTACTTTTATTTCATTTAATTACAGCTTTTTGCACAGTGTATAAAAAGTTTATGATAGGCCCACTATTTTACTGCTGCCTTGTATAGTATGACTGTACTTTTAAATGAGAGATGTAATTGTATTGCACATTACGAAATGTTTGTAATTTTGTAGTAAATGCCATTTAATTTCAGGTCCGAAAGGAGTCATTAATGACTGGCGGAGATTTAAACAACTGGAGACAGAACAGAGACAGGAGCAGCGCAGAGAAATGGAACGACTCATAAAGAAGTTATCTATGACTTGTAGATCTCACTTAGATGAAGAGTCTGAGAAACAGAAGCAGAAAGAGATCCAGGAAAAAATAAATGGAAAGGTAACATGGCCCGAAGGAATTAAAATGCCATTTAAATGTTTGACATTTTTTGTTTCGTCGTTCGTGTATGTGAAGCAGACAGGAATCGTTACCTGGTCAGCAGGTCTGTTTAGCAGAGCAGGTGAACAGACAAAATGCATAAAACCCTGTTAGTTTCAGTTCTGCAGACAAGACAGTGCATTTGTTTTGGCAAAAGTTGTTTACTGAAAAATTAAATGAAAAAGCTGATGAGAAGGAAGCTGTTTGACAGCATAGACTGAGGTCAGGCACCTTACCCCAAGCGGTGCTCATAGCTTAGTGAAAGCACATAGCTGCCATTAACCTGAATTAAAGTGGGAGCAGCCACTTGTGTTATTAGTGCAGCCTGTGGAAACTGGAATACCCAAGGCTGAAATCACTGTTCCCACTGGACATAGTTCCTAATTAGATCAAAACGGAGTGTAATACAGAGGGTGCTTGAGCCTTCGTGGGTTGCACTTTGGTATTATTAAAGATGAGTGACCCACATTAACGCTCTTGATTTAAATCAATTATGTAAGTGACCCACATAGTGATGTAGACCTTTTCTTTTTGTCATAAGTCTTTCTGTGTATTTTTTAGATGACATTACAAGAATATAACATGATTCACAACGATGAAGATGATGAGGAATTCTTACAGCGATACAGGAAGCAGCGGATGGAGGAGATGAGGCAGCAGTTGTACAGTGGGCAGCAATTTAAAAAGGTTTTTGAGATTACCAGTGGAGAAGCATTTTTGGACACGGTTGATAAAGAGCATAAAAGCACACTGATCATGATCCATATTTACGAAGATGATATCCCTGGCAGTGAATCCCTGAATGGCTGTATGATCTGCCTGGCTGCTGAGTATCCAACCGTTAAATTTTGCAAAGTAAAGAGTTCGCTCATTGGTGCCAGCACCCGCTTTACTAATAATGCTCTGCCGGCTTTGCTGATCTATAAGGCGGGTGAGCTCATTGGCAACTTTGTGCGAATCACTGACCAGCTTGGAGAAGATTTTTTTGCTGTAGACCTGGAGGCTTTTTTGCAGGAGTGTGGTCTGCTTCCAGAAAAAGACCTAGTGCTCCTGACTTCTATACATAACCCATCTGCTTGTTACAGTGAAGACAGTGATCTGGAAATAGACTGAACCACTTACGCCGATGGGCCAGTAGGTGTAGTTGTACAGCGGGATGTTGTTGTGCTAGGGGCTGGTTTCTTCCTTTCTTAGCGTGGGTATATTATTCTTCGCCTCCATGCACTTCAACTTTTGCTCGTTAAAATTTTGTTTAAAATAATACAAGGAATTCCTAACATTTTCTTAAATTAATTCAGTAAAGTGCACACTAAAACTGTCTTGCTTTTATGCAGTTCAAACTGTATTATACTAAACCTGAATTTCTAACACAATTCAGTAAATTTAGGAAATTGTGTATTCTGTTGTCATCTCTCACTTAAATTTTGTAAACATTTTGTCCTTGGATCAGTTGTTTATAGTCAGTCTCCTTACAGATTTGCTTAAACAACGTGAATACCAATTGGATCAGAAAGTGGGCACCTAGTCACTAAGACAAACGTGTTTTGAAGTGCTCCAATCTTTTATTAACCTGGAGTTGAACTGCTGCCAGTGAATTAACAATGCTAGGTCCCATCTTCCATTTGTAGTCCCCTTCTTGGAAGTACCATTATTCTAACAATTGGTGCCATATTTTTGTTCTTTTCTCACTTGCAAATAACAACAGCTCCTGACTTGATACTGAAAATTACCTTTCAGCTGGAGAGGGTTCTTTAACCTTACCCAAGACTTAAATGAGAAAATCTTCCTTCTGTTACAGCTCTTAATGTATTCTTGGGTTTTAAAATACCTACCATTAGTTCATAGTAGTTACTTCTGCAGAAAATAAGCTCTGCCTCTTAAGAGAAAGAGACCTTTTATAAAGAGCTCCAAAGGACATGCTGAATAGCATCAAGGAGAATTTTGTTGGCAAAATGCAGAATTAGAACTTGAATAGCCTCAGAATTTCGTACATCTCTAAAATTGTTAAATCACTGCTGATGGTCATTTCTGTCTGTCTTCAGATTATCTGCTTAAGCTGGATCTTCAGCTGCATTTTGAATATTAATAACCCCTGGACCTGACAGATGACTGGAAGGCTCTGTGGGAAATCACCCTTGAGCCGATAGACCAGATCCCTAGGCAGGTGTTCAGTAGCACAGCTGATTCCCTTGTCTGAAGCACAGGGACTCGTTCTTACACAGAGGGCTTGGCTTGATCAAAACCATGGCTTGCCCTGTTCTTCCTCTGATGGCAGCTCTTCAGGAGCTATCACAGCTCTTTCAGCTGCCCAGTGACATTGATCTTAAAGTTCTCCTCTCCCCCAGAACACAGGGTGGCTCCTACTGCTGGGCACAGGGTGAAAGCTGTGCAGCACTGGCTGAGCCCGTTTGTCTTTTTCATGAGCACTATTGCTCCTGAACGCAAGAGCTGTATATTGCGCTTCGTCATTACCATTTGTTAGTGGTTACATTTTTATTAAAGTGTTTGTTTTGTTTATGCTCTACTAACTTTGTATATCAGAGGTAATATGGGGAAGTAATTTTCAGGGTTTCTAGTACGTTACAGTTCACCCTGACTCCAGCAAGTCTAGCGCTAGGTAGCCGTGAGATAACCTGAGTAGCATTAGAAACCATTAGCAATTTACAGTGAGCGCAAGCATGAAAACCTCCAGCAATGCAGAGCAACACAAAGGTTTTCCTGGCCAGGTTATGGCTGAGTGACTCAAACAATGTACCTGGTACAAATGAGCATGTTGAATGCGTGCACTCTGTACTTAGTTGTTACTGAATTACGTGTCTTCTGCATACTTAATTGGATGTTACAACACTTCTGCTTTCTCATGCATTCCTTATGTTGCTCGTTATTTTTTAATTGTGAGGAAAGTAGACTATAGTTACCTGAATATACGACCCAGTGTAATGCCATGTTTAATGATTAAATTTAATTGTGTTTTTTTTTTTTTTTAATTTTCATTGTTGTTGTTTAGCTTTTTTGCAAGTTGAAGGCACTTTGGAACACCAGGAAGAAATGCAAATGCCTGTGTAAGCTCTTGGTTCACAGTAAAACTAGATCTTATTAGAGAAAAATAAGTGTTGGCAATTGTATCTATTTGAACGATATTATTAAAAGTGCAATAAGCAGGAAGAGAAGTAGTTCGTAATTAAAAATTACTGAATTGGCACAAATTGTAGCTGTTTTAAGGGAACTGGCAGAAGCCCAAATTTTAAAATGTGATAAGGGATTCTTTTCTTTTTAGAATTGCGGAAAAAAAAAAACACACATGAAAGTTACGTGAAATTAAATCATTGAGCGTGGGTATCAGCACATCTAAGAAAAAAAGTCAAAGCAGCTGTAATTTATATTTAGGAGGAGGTTCAGTTAAGTATGTAGCACAGACAGGGTGCGTATTAGCATCATAATAAAATGATTTGGAGGGGCGAGAGCTGACTGCTTGAAGTGCTTTGAAGTTTTATTTGTGCAAAGTGTTTTTTGTTTGTTTTTGTTTTTTAATCCCTACGTCAGTAAAGCTGTAATAGGATCAAAACCTCTCCTGCTGCTCTGTGTCAGATGGCCTGCAGCAAGGGGACTCGGTTATTAATCTTCAGTGCTCAACTACATGACAGATGTTTCATGGTGCCAATAGCAAAAGGAAAAAAAAAGAAAAGGCGTGTGGGAAAGAAGTCTGAATTCAATTAATCACTAATCTTGGAGCATACAGTAAGCATAAGGGAGAGAGGGATAGAGAGAAGATGTGTTAGGATGCTGCTTCTCATTGTCAGCACAGACAACACAAATCTGAGCAGTCAGAGGTTGGCTGCTGGAGCTGCTGAGAAGCGTTGTGGGCAGGGCTGGGTAGTGCTGCCAGGTGCTTTTGCCCGTTCTTGAAGCTAAGTCCTCCCAAATTGACCAAGCAGTAATTGTGTGCTCAAAACCCATCATGCACATTAAACAACATGGCAAAGTGAAATGAATTTTAAGATATGTTAGCTATTTGTTTGTCCCCTGTCTGTTCAATAGAACTCAAAACTACAACTCCTGTCTGTAAATGTTATAGCTGAAATGTTGAAGTCTATTTATTTATCTAATTTTAGATAAGGCCCTGACCAGGCTAAAAACTGGAGTGTATTTGTGTATATATATGCATTAGAGGACTGAAAATAAAAGGAAATTGTACCAACCCCTACATACAATAAAATAGTTCTGAAACATCCAGTTTGGCATTGGGAGCGTCAGGTTTTTGGTTTGGTGCAGGTGCCTCTCCTTCCCCCAAAGCTATTGCATCCTGCCACCATCAGAACTCCATTTATGTTGATGTGCTGTACTAAATGGTTTGGTTTTGAATAAAGGATGCTTTTTAATTTTGTCAGATATTTCATGTATCTGTTCTGGCACAGCAACTCCCGTAGCATAAAACATAGCTCCTGGCAGAAACGTGATGGCATTTTTGGTACCACAAATGGCTCTGGTGCAGGAGGTGGCAGAGAGAAGTTGGCTGCGATGTCTGAAGTGGGTTGTCTGTATTGGGTTACGCACTCAAATGTTTTGTCTCTAGCAATGCACCTTATCTTGTCTGGGCCAAAAGTCCTCAGTGCTCTTAGGGACCAGCAGAAGCTGGGAAAGAGTTTGCCCAGCTCTCCCTGCTAGCTGAGAACTGCTGACCCTGCGCCTCCTGGGGGCTTGGTGGATGATGCAGAGCCCGGGGCTACGAACCTGGGCAGGTACCGGCCCAAGGGTGACGTCCCTTGAGCTCTAGTAGTTGTTCCCTGCCCCAGCTACTGCCACCAGCAATTCTGTTCCTTTCATTAGTGCGTCTGACGAAACTGGTCTGAGCTATAAATGTGAAAGTCGAGGGAGGCTGGAGTGTCAGTGCAAAGCGACCGGGGTTGGTTGCCTTTCTCGTGCCATGGCAGAGCTTGTGCAGGGCACTGCTCAGGTTTTAGTGTTTTGGGCTGCAGTTCTACCAGCATCAAATGAATGCAAGACTTCTTAAATCCATTATTTCAGTGGGGCAAGAGAGCTCAGAAAGAAAACAACTGGTGCTGGAAAACAAGGTTGGTGCTTATTACCTTTAAATGTTTTGAGACGTTTGCACTAGTCTGTGTATCTGAAATATGACAGCAAGGTAACGCATGGTGAGGGTTCGGTGAGTAAGACTTCTACTGAGCTGTTACGTGCTCTGTCTGCAGTCTGTCCTTTCTGTGCCATGTTTTCTATCTGTTGCTTCTCAAGCCTAGGACAAACATGCAGATATGGCCAAGGTGATTTGGGCTTTTTCTGCCTGTTGGTGTAGCTCTGCTTAGTCCTGTGTGTACCCGTGGAGCCTGAAAAACCACAGCTCCCCTGACGGGCTGTCCGTTTGCTTGTCTGCATCTGTCTCTTCTGGTCATGCAGCCACGTTGCATTGCTTTTGGAGCGCTGGGGGTTTATTTGCAGGGACACCAAGAAGTGAATTAGTACTGTAAGGTTCCTTGATGTTTTATTGGAGCCAGATAATCAGGTTGTCACCCCAAGGACAAGATTTAAAAAAATCAAAGCTTGTACTGATTATGCTTTTTGTCTTCAATATCATTGTTACGGATAAATATCTTAGCATAGCTAAAAGTGCTAGATGCTCATGGATTTACATCTTCTTACTAAAAGCATTCAAAATATGCCTTTCTTGAAAAATCCAAGCAGCCATTCCTGCTCTGGTGCCTGGTGAAGTGCCTCAGCCTGGCTGAAAAACTCATCAGATGAGGGTGAAAACGCTGCTGGATGCCCCCGATCCCGCCCAGGTGATGGCCGTGCGCAGCTCACACCTTGAGGCCCCCTTTGCATGCAGCAGCGCTGCGGGCAGCTGATCTCCTCCTCCCATCCACTCCGGTCATTGTGCTCGGTGAATCACTGCTCCAAAGGTCACACAAACACGGGCAGATGTTGGCGCTGCCGTTTCGCGCACCGCACGTACGCAGCACAGCGCCAGCGGTCTCCTCTCCAGATCGGCCCGCGGGCAGGCGAGCTGCAGCTGTGCTCCCCGGAGGAGCTTGTTTAAAAAATGGTGCTTGGCTTGTATGAAGGCGTCTTCTGGGCGGGCCAGGAGCAGGGAACAGCAAAAAGGAGTCTGTCGGAGCTGGGTGTCTGTCGGAGCTGCGTGTCCGGCAACCCCCAGCTCTGTGCTGGTCCCTGGATGCATTGGGCAGCCCCCCTGGGTGATGCTGGGCTGTTCCAGAGCCGCAAGCTGCCGTCGTTTGTACTCTGTCAGGTTTGGCAGCGCTGCCTCAGCTGCACTGTTCCTGGCAGGATGTTCCTCCGTGGCGGCAGGGAGCACCTAGGCAGCTCTCCCCGTGTGCCTGCCGGGCCGCAGCGCGCTTATCAGCTGGTAGCAAAGCCGTGCTGGCAGGCTGCGATAGCGACAAACAAAAGCAGGATGTTTGTGGTCTAACTGAAACGAGCCGAGCTTGTGCTGCTAGCCAGATGCTGAAGGATGCTCGGAGGCTGGAGCTCTGCACGGCGAGGGCAGTCGTGTGTGTGCCATGGAGGTGATGCAGGAGCACAATGCGCAGCTCGCGGGGTGCATTCCCCTACAGGGAGATGCCAGCAGCCAGCCTGGGTGCTGCTCACTCTGCTTTTCAGCAGTGTTGCCACCTGAGCGAGGGCTGGGACCCTCTGGCGGGCTGGCAGCCCCTGGAGCACGAAGCCACCACATTTTGGGCTGTGGTGGGCTGGGCGTGTTGGTGCCCAGGCACGTCCTGCACACCCGTGCCTTCCTCAGCAGCAGCGTGTGCAGTGCGGCAGAGCAGGGGTCTGCAGGGGACTAGGACCTACAGATGGAGGGATGTGGTGGGACAGCTTCTCTGGGCGGTTTTTGTGGAAGTTTTCTCACCCAAGAGTACCGAGAGCAGGAGCACTGCCCACCTAGCAGACGGTACTGCCAGGTTTCACTGGTGAATTGGCCGCATGCTGCTGTCTCAAGCCCTGATGCGGGGGCTCTCCAAGACAGAGCAGAAGCACAGGACCGGGGTCCCTCCAGCTCCTCCAGCCACTCAGCACAGCGGGGAGCTGCAGCCTCGCCTGCAGCTGGGGCTGTTTGTGCCCTCAGGGGTGGATTTCACGTGATAGAAGTGCCCGGTGCTGGGCTTAGCTTAAGCTCTGTGTCACCAGCAGCAGGTTTGTGGGGCATTGGTGGCCGGTGGGAAGCAGCGGGGCCAAAACCTTCATGGAGGCTGTGGCACGGCCCCTGCTGAAGCACAGGGAGCTGGGAAGCTCTGCTTGTTTCTTCTCACACAGCTGGTTACTGACACGGGCACGGTGCTGGTGAGCTCACATCGACAGCCCGGCTGAGCACTCACCTTCCACCAGCGCCGCCGAGACGTCTGCTCTCCCAGCTCCTGCTGGCCCTGGGCACTCTGCCTTGGCCTGGCTCTGCTGAGGGAGAGCTTGAAAACTTGCTGGAGGAAATGAGAGTGGTTTTTAATAATGTTTATTCGAGAGGTCCATTTTCTGGGATCTGACTGGGACCAAGGCCAGCGACCCTGGCTTCCAGCGATCGCATCACGTTGCTGGCGATGGCTTACATCTGCGAGCTGTGGAGCGGGACAAGCAAGTTCAGTGTGCCTTGGGGGACGTCGTTTACTCAGCTATTAATGCAGGGCGGTGTAACGAGCATAGGGTGCAAGAGCCTTAACGGGTGATGGGCACAGAGGTGGCATCGTGTGTGACGGGGCCAGCGCGGTGCCAGGGGCACAGGGGCCTGGGAATCTCACTGAGACCCAGGGCTGGGCAGCTGGCACGGCCACACCGCTGCACCCGGCGTGCCTGGGATGCTTGTTTGTCCCAGGCCAGGCAAATGAGGCTGCTGGGCTGGGCTGGGCCGAGCCAGAGCCAAGCAGGCTGCAGGAGAGCCAGGTGAGAGCGCAGCCCGAGCTGGGCCAGAAAGGAAGGAAGGGCAGACGGACGTCTGCAGCGCATCATCCCCATCCCTCCCTCGTTGCCACGTGTGGAAGACAAGGCTGGGAGCGCTCCCTGTGCACCGTGCCCCTCTCCATCCGAGCGGGGACGCCCCTGCAGAAGAGGGGCTGCTGGTGCTGGGAAGCAGCAGGAGCTGAGGCTGAGCAGGAGCAGAGGAGCCGGGAGCACCCCCGGGTGCTGGGGGTCCCCGGAGAGCCCGAACGTGGCTTAGCACAAGGCAGGGGCTGGGAAGAGGAACAGTTCTGCTGAGCACGGGCGATGGCAGCTCTTCTGCCTGGGCTCTTGAGCTCTTCCCAGAGCGGGCACCAGCCTCTCCCTGCCGGCGTGGGGCTGGGCTGGAGCCTGCCCAGGGCAGACGATCGTCGGTCCTGCTCCTGCCGGGCACGGGGTGGGTTCCCCAGCCCCGCCGCTGCCTGCAGGGACAAAGAGGACACTCAGCACTGGGTGGGGGGCTTGTTCCCCCAAGCCCTGGACAAGGACAGACCCTACCTGTGCAGAGTGGAGGTGCTAGAGCTCCGTAGAGGGCCCACCACCACCGCCCCGGCTGCTGCCAGCCGTGCCTCCTGCCGCGGCGTCCGGCACATGGAAGGCCACGTACGGGCACCTCTTCACGTTGAGGCACACCAGCTTCTCCAGGGATGCTGTCTTGACTATCTCAAAGCCAGTCGCTCCGCCAAAGGTACTGGGCTTCCAGTACTCCGGGGAGCAGATGGGGTTTCCGAGAAGCCCCTTCAGGGAAAAGGGAGCTCCGATCTCCACCATGCTTTCTCCGAAAATGCCGTTGGGTTGGGGTTTCTCAAGCAGCAAGCCCAGGTAAAACTCCAGCGCATCGATGTCTCCATAGAGCTCCTCCAGCTCTGCAGCCTTCTCCTCCTCTCCTGCACCAGGTGAACACCAGACACATCAGCAAGGGTCTGGCCTTGCCATGGGGCACGGGGACGTGGCAGGAGGGAGACCTGCGGGCCCTGCTGGCAGCACGGTGCTCGTACCTGTGAGCTCCTGGAAGGATTTGTAGGGCTTCATGCCAAACCTCTTCCGATACTCATTGAAGGGCTGCAGCCTCAGCTGCCGCGACTCCATGATGACCCCGACGGCCACTTTCAGGACGTTGGCGTTGATGGTTTGCCCCCCGCCGATCTGGAGGATGAGAAGACAAGGAGGGGCACGCTCACATGAGACACGGGGAGGCTCCGGCCTCCATGGAGGCACAGCCCGGCCTCCCTGCCTGCATCCTGGGCATGGCGCGGCCACAGTGGGACAAGGGGGTGCCAGGGGCAGCGCCAAAGACTGGCGGTGGCACAGTTTGGGGTAGAGCCCATCTCCTGCAGGAGAAGCCCTGGATGGCAGCGTCCCACCGGCCAGGAAGGAGGGAAGGAATCACTGGGTTTGGGGGTCTGGGGTCGCGGAGGGAGCCTGCACACCCCAAGAGCAGCAGGGCTGTGTGCCAGCAGTGTCGCTTTGCCCATGTCAGAAGCATCGATGTAATCACTTGGAAGAAAACATCCATGTGATGGCAGCAAAGAACAGCGTGAGGCGAGCTGTTCCCGTGCCCAGGCTGCACCCAGCAGGGTGCCGCACGCTGCTGGCTTCACCCTGATGCTTATTCCAGTGTCCTGGGATCAAGCAAATGGGGCTGCCACGACCCAACCTCACCCCGCTGCTCATGGGGAGGACTCCCCAAGCGCACACACTGCCTGCTGCCCTCGGGAACAGGCTGTGAGTGCTGCACACAACCGGGACATTCGTTATGGGTGGGCTGTGGCTGTGCTCTGATGATGCCTTGGGCCTGGGGTCCCGCAGCCCCCCGTGGGACGTGCTGCAGAGAGCAGGACCTCACCATCCCCGCGGTCTGCTTGGAAAAGGACTCCACCAGGGCCTCCACGCCATAGTCCAGGAGCATGGAGGTGTTGTAGAGAAACTGCTCGTAGCTGTACTCTTCCCCCTGGATGACGAAGGAGTCCGGCATCAGCCCGTGCCAGTGATAGAGCTGGTTGAACTCCACCGCGATGCGATTCCGGTACTGGAACTGCCTCCCGAACAGCAGCTCGGGGTCGAACTTGAGGCTGAGGAAGTACCCGCTGAGGTGCTGCACGTAGTCTTCAATGACGATCTTGATGGTCTCCCCTGGGCAGGAGGCGAGAGGAGGAGGCGTCAGCTGGCAGCAGGAGCAGCCACAGCCCCGGATCAGCCCCGGCTCCCCCAGGGCTCGGGGCAGCCCCGGTTACTCATGTGCTGAGTGAGGCTCCCCATGGCAGCCTGTCCCTGCACCCCCGCACCCTCTGCCGCCCGGACCTGCCTGACATCGGGCTTGTTGTTGGCTGGGAGTTTCTGTCATTTATCTTTTTCACCGGGAAAGGTCAGCTTGCCAAAAACAAAACGGTTTCTGAGAAAGCTGAGCTTGGTCTGGAGCTCAGAGGCAGTGTGGTGGTATCGTGGGTCTTTCTTAAGTCTACTGTAATTCCACACAGTCGCCTCCATCCAAAATCCAGACCGTTAAAATGGAATAGTTCAGAATGATGGCTAAATTGCTCAAAAGTAAATTTTCTGATGGACTAAAGCCAACGATCCCCAGAAGGCTGCCAGAGGAACTCCTCCAGCCTTTTAAGCTGGGCTGGCCCTGCAGAGCCCGACAGCACCAGGTCACTGTGGGAGGTGGGACGCGGGGACCCGCGGTGCCACCAGCCCTCACCGATGAGGATGAGCCGAGCCGTCTGGAAGAGCTGCTCGTCGCTCCAGGTGGGGTGCTCCCGCTTCAGGATGTCGCAGACGCGGTTGTGCTCACGCAGCCAGAGCGTGGCGTACATGCAGAGCCCCGGCAGGAGCCCGAACACCTCCTGACCCATCGCCAGCTGCTTCTCCTTGGGGACGGCAGGCGGGTACACCATGTGGACCGGCGCTTCGGTGACCGAGGGGGGGTACACCTCTCCATCCACCACCTCGGGGAGACAAAAATGGGGTGGTAGAAAGGGAAGAGGGGACAAAACCACCCTGTCCTGGCAGCTGCCAGAGGGACGTGGGCTTCAAACAACCTTGGAGCACGGAACTGAGACGCATTTTGGTACATGGTGCCACGTGGTACCTGGAATTTGAGCTTCCCGTCCCTGAAGAGCCGCAGCTGGTGCTGGCGCTGCAGGTTGTCCCCGTACAAGTGCCCCAGGTCCACCTGCGAGACAGCACCGTGTGACGGGAGCACCACCTGGCCGTGCCCACCCCTGGACCCCCCTCACCCCACGCCGGCCGCCCTCGCATCGCGCCCTCACCCCGTGCCCCAGCGCCTTGGTGAAGCCTCGCCCCATCTTCCCGGACGTCTTGAAGAACTGGTGGGTGAAATGCTGGGCGAAGAAGGCAAACATCAGGTTGGTGCCCCGGGGATCGGCTTCGAACTTGTGCCGCAGCAGGAACCTCTCCGCCAGGAGCTGGGCGTCGGGGAGCTGCCGCTTCCCTGCGGAGGACGGGGGTGACGCCGGTGCCCCGGCGGGTGCCAGCGGTGCCGTGGGGGCTCAGGCACGGGCACTGGGATGCGGTGGTGCTGCAGCAGGGACGGACCCGGTGCTGCTCTGCAAACCCAGCCGTGTTCATCGCCTCGTGGTGCCGGTCCTGCGCCGGGCACATACCTTTGGTCCCCATGGGCGTGGGGCAGTCATCTGGCACGGGTGGGAGGATGCGGGTGTAGTAGCTGACGTTGGCGTAGGCCTCCCAGCTGATGTAGCCGTAGTTGGAGTTAAAGGTGGGGGGGCTGGGGATGAGGTTGGCACGAACTGGAAGGAGAGAGCAGTCAGTGCCGCGGGGCAGCACCCAGACCCCCAGGAACCAGGAGGTGGTGGGCAGAGAGCCCGGCCACGTCCTGCATGTGCTGTGCCCCCCCCCCAAACCCAGCCTTTTAGGGGCTGCAGTTCCCTGCAGGAGCAGGGGGGTTGTGCTGCTGCACGAAGTGGATTCCTGCATGACGAATTAGATGACAAACATGCAGAAATGGGGAAACCAACAGCCGGAGCCTCGCGAATGTGTTCCTACAGCTCCAAGAGCTGGAACCTAAATATTTACGCGAAGTGATAAATGTAGGGACAGAATTAACATGGGCCAGCTCCATATTTCCACCAGCTGCTCCCTGTGTCTGCTGGAGAGCCCTCAGGAAGGGGATTGCAGCGTGCCGAGAGCAGCTCATGTGTCTCTGCTGGCTCCCAGCCCGGTGCGTGCGGGGCTCAGCCCCCTGGGCCCCCACTGCTAATGTCCCCTGCGGGCCGGCTCGCAGGGAGGTGGCCCCAAACTGGAGCCACCAGGAGATGCTCGGTGGCCCCACCGTCCCCTGCCCGTGCTGGTGCTGCTGGAGTCCTGCTCGGCCCCAGGACCCATCCCAACCCCTCCCGGGAATCGCCCCCCGCACCTGTGAGCACGAGCCTCATCAGCGTGTCCCTGATGAAGGTGCTGTTGATGATGTCCCAAAACCACCTGAAGTGAGTCAGGACGAAGTGGTAGAAGGCGGGACTGGGCTTCAGCAGGTTGTGGAGGCGCGTCCAGAGCTCGGCTGGGGGAGACAAACCCGGGCACACGGCTCAGCACTGGATGCTGCAGCGCTCACCCTGCTAACGCAGCCCCCGTGCGGTGCCGGGGCTCCTCCGGGAGGGGGACTTACGCGAGGTGCAGTTAGTCCCGAAGTACCCCGTCCGCGTGCAGTCGCACTCGTAGCCTTCCAGGCCGACCCGCACGCACACCCCTTGGTGCTGGCAGGGGTAATAGCAACACGGGTTCACTGCGGGGAGAGAGACAGAGAGGTCACCGGCCATCCACGGCGCCACCGCTGCCCCGAACACAGCTGGGAAAGAAAGGCCGAAAGGTGCTGCCAGAGCATCCCGCATGGGGTCCCTGTGCCCCGAGAGCCCAGGAGCTGGCAAACCCCTGCAAACACAACGTCAGCTTTGTTAATAATGGCAATTGTCTGGGCTGGAGTTTGCTTTGGCACGCGGCTGCTTTGCCCCAGCCCCGTGTGCGGGTGGAAGGGGCTGCCCGCGGGGCTCCTTCCTCCCGGCACCAGCCCTGGCCCTGCCGCTTCCTCCGCAGCCACCTCCTTGCCCGCGTGCCCCAGCTGCAGCCTCCAGATAAGGGGATAAGGGGCTGAGGGCCCCGTCCTGCCCTGCCTGCGGCCACCGGGGTCCCAGCAGCTGCCGGTGCCCCCCCGGTGTCACTGGGCAGTGCGTTGGGGCCAGCTCCTGCAGACGCGTGGGCGGCCTGGAGCCGCTGCCCCCCCCCGCCAGGACCTTCCCCGGCGTCGGCGTGGGAGGTCGGGGCTTGGAGAGACGCGGCCCCAGCAGCGCCGGCACCCCACAATCTGCTGCTTTCCCTGCCCCAAATGGGGGATGACAAAGCTGGAGAGGAGCAAAACCACGTCTCGCTGGGATAAAACAAGCCCCTGCGTGTACTGGAGGGATGGGGCACGGGGGTGGTGGGGACACACGGGGACAGCCGCGGCACCCACCGGGCTCTGCCCCGGTGCCACCCCGCAGAAGGCTCCGGGAGCTGTGACCAGGGGGTGGCTGCAGCATCCTCGGCCCTGCGGGGCTCAGCCCAGTCGGCTCCAAGTTCTGCTGGAGGCCGGAGCCAGGCTCTAACGCCGGGGGGAGGTGGGCAGGCACAACGCGCAGCACATTTTTCCATAGGAAATTGAAGCTAAAAACGAACATCTTTGAAAAATCAAGCTCATTTTGCAAAGTCTCCCAGTTTCCCAGGCAGCTCGGGGCCGGGACAGGGTGGGGGCTGCCTGGGGGCTGGCAGCTCTCACGACTGCTCTCAGCCCTGGGATCCCAAACCCCTCATGCTACGGGGGGGCAGCTCGCAGAGTTCAGCTCCCAGCCCTTCCTTCGGGCTCCCTTTCATCCCAGCTCTTTCCATCCCAGCCTCCGTTACACATCCAGACGGGCGGCAGCGGGCAGGTCCTTATTTATCTCGGACAAATTAACTTCAGACCACCCGCCTGCAGCTTTTTGTAGCACGGAAACTTTTACCGTGCCGCAGCGCAGCCAGAGCATCCCCGGAGCAGTTCCCGCGCCAGTAGCTCCGCGCTTGGCTCCACCACAAACATCTGCAGGAGTGGCCCCGCTCCCTGCCCCGGCCAGCTCAGGGGGGGGGGGGGGGACACGGGGACGCTGCTGTGGGGCCGGGTGGCTGCTCCGTGCCAGGGCCCCGCAGGCAGCTGCCTCCTGCCGGGGTCACAGCGGTGTCAGCGCCGTGGGGGCCCCGAGGTGGGGCAGGAGCAGCATGTCCCAGCCACAAGGGCGCGAGGGGCCGCGGCGTGTCCCAGCCCGCGACAGCCGCCCCCCGCGGCGCTCCCGGCCTCTCTCCACCCCGGGCAGGAATCCTGCCGGGACGGCTCCAGGTGTGGGGAAAGCCGCTCCCGGCCCCCGCGCTGGATCGCGGCCCCCTCCGTGACAGCTGAGCCGGTGAACACGTGCGATCGGCGCTGAGAAATGCCAGATTTTGGGGGACGACATCCGCTCTGCAAACCGCAGCCAAAGCGACGTGGGGTGAATCATGTGCGGGCTGGAGCCGGGCTTGCCCGGTGGGACATTCCCGTCTTGCGCACGGCTGCGAAGACAACAAATGGCTCACACGCTTGTTTTTCGCATCGGGGATGGTTTCCTTGGGTTTTCCGTGAGCTGCTCCCAGCCCGCGCCACGGAGCCAGATTGTCATCTGCAACCACTTCTGGCCGCACCGCCAGTGACAGCAACCTGCCAGGGCCGCAGCTGCGCCGCACATGGGGCTGGCGGCTCCTCCTCCCGCACCTGCGGCCGGGCACGGGGGCTGCTCCCAGCAGCGGGGCTGGGGGGGGACATGGCCATGCCCCAGCAGCAGCCCCGCGCTGTGCCCGTGCTCCGCCGTCCCCTCCGTGCAGCGGAGCCGAAACCCCAACAGGGATGGGGGAGGAAACCTGACCGCAGGTGGCAGAAATGGGCACAAATCAAAATCGGCTCTGACAAAGGCACCCGCGGGGTCTGAGCCCGACCGACCTCCCCGTGGTGGGACCCCGGGCACGGTGCTGGCATCCAGGGGCCTCCACGGTGTGGGACCTCCATGAGGAGCGGCTGGAGGGGCTGTGGGGTTATTTTGCTGGAAGGTTTGCTCTTGAACAGAAGCACAGCCCCGAGGGTAAGGCTGCAGATGAGCTCCCAAGGGCAATATCCATGGGGGCAAATGGAGAAACGCCACGGGACCAGGCTGGCTCAGCTCACAGCCTGGGAAAACCTCAACGGGGAGCAAACATCGCTGCTCAGAGGCAAGGTGGAGCCTGCGAGGGGCTGAGAAGTGCCCGGAGCAGCAACCATCAAGCGGGCAGGAGGCTGCAGGCGAAGCCCAGCATCCTGTTATTCTGTCTTCTAGAGCAGATCTGAGCACAAGATTAAGGCCGTGGTCCTCCAGCTGCACACCTCCCGCAGCCCATCTGCTCTGCTGGCAGCACCTCGGGGCACAGCACAGTTCCCCTAATTCCATCAGGTATCTCCCTTGCTAATTAGAGCTCGGAAGATAAGCATCCTTTTGCGTACATCCCAGCTACGGGTTCTTTCCCCACGTGGTGAGCTCTGCTTTGGCCCCATCCTGCAGCCAGCGTCTTGGGGCTGCCCGTGGCTGCACCAGCCTGGTGTGTGCCTGTCCCAGCCACCATGGGTTGGGTGTCCCCAACCAGTCCTGGGCCCATCCCGTGGCACCCAGCGCGCTCAGCCCTGCCGCCAGGACACACAGTGGGGTGCCACAGCCCCGTGTCGGTCCGGGCGCTGTTCCTCCTCCCGCAGCACTCGCTCCCATGCCTCGAAATGCCGTAACCCTCAGCTCATGTTCCCGTTTCGGACACACACGGTGCCGAAAGGGGGAAGTCTCCACCTTAGGGGCATTGTTTCTGGGCAGGAACAGCCGCCTCAACGCCGATAAGTCCCAGCAGGGTGGCTGCGGGGAAGGGGTGCGGGGCAGGGGGAAGGAAGCCGTGCCCTGTTCCAGCAGCCCCCTCTGCCCCGCTCAGCCCCAGCCAGCTCCCTTTGGGGCGCTGCACCCACGTCCTGCTGCCCCCCCAGCCCCAGGCCATGGAGATGGGGGCAGCATCCATCACACCGAACGCAGCCGGAGCCCCGCCAAGGGACGCAAACCACATTCCTGCGCTGGCTTAGTGGGGAGCTGCAAAACCCGAGAAGTTCCCTGAGCTGGACCCGGGGTGGGCTTTTCTCCGTGGAAGGGAGGAAAATCACCTCCTGGAAGCGGGACCGGAGGCAGTGACCCCCTGGGGACCTGGAGGGAGCTGCTCCGGGGCAGCACGTGGAGGGAGGTGGCCCCACGAGGCTGCGAGCAGCGGTGCCCCTCGATGCCCCGGGCTGCGGCCCCGGGGGGCTCCCACAGCCACGGACACGCGGGGGCTCCTCCAGCCCCTGCCCGTGGCCCCGGGGGGGCGCAGCACACGGGGGAGACCCCCAGGACCCTGCTCCTTCCCCCCCTGTGTCCCGATCCCACGGGGCTGGGCACCAGCGGGACATGGGCACGATCGTGCCCCAGGACACACGCGCGGCCCCCCTCGGACACAGCCAGCGCCGGGAGCACCGAGGGGATCCGGGGGGGCCCCGAGCTCTCCCCCCGTGCCCCTCCCGGGGGCAGCGCCCCCAGCCCCGCGCCCTCCACCCCCCAACATCCCTCCGGGTCCCCGGCCCCTGCAGGATCCCGGCGCATCCCCCTCCCCAAACCGGATCCCTCCGGACCCCCCCGCATCCCCCGGACCCCCCTCCCCGCCCGGTCTCTCCTCGGGCTCCCCCCCCCCCCGCCCCGTACCGGTGCCGGTGCCGGCGGCCGCGGCGCTCCCGGCGGCGCAGAGCAGCAGCGCGGGGCCGAGCAGAAGCCGCAGCCCGGCCGGGGGGGCCCGGGGCCGGCACCCACCGCCCATGGCGAGAGGCAGCTCCGCCGCGGGCCGCCGCTGCCCGGCCCGGCCCCGCCGCCCCCGCCCCCGCCGCGCCTCCGCCCGCCCCCGACGGGACGGGGCCGCCTCCGTGCCCCGGTCCCCGCGGCCCCGGCATCGCCGTGCCCACCCCCGGCTCTCCGCATCCCCCCCCGGTCCCCTCGCCCCGAGCATTTCCTCGCTGCAGCCCCCGCTGCGACAGCCCCGGGGAGCCTGGTGGCACCCCCAGCGTGGTGGCACCCGGAGCCTGGTGGCACCCTGAGCACGGTGGCACCATGAGCACGGTGGCACCATGAGCCTGGCACCGTGTCTGGCCGCTCCTGCTCTCCCGTGCTGGCAGGGGGCCGTGGCAGAGCCCCAGGGCACGTCCCGGGGGTTTTGCCGTCACCCCCCGCAGCGCAGCAGCAGCCCCGGGCACCCCGGGGGTGGCCGCGTTTTTCCGCCACCCGCGGTGGAAGCGGCTGCAGCGGGGCCGAGCCAGGAGCCTGCTGAACTGGAAAGTGGAAAGGTGCTGCTGCTGGAACAGCCGGCTCCAAATTGCTGCTGGGAAGGAGCACGCGGCTCCACGGCGGCTTCGTGCCACGATCGTCCCTCTCGGCGGTGACCTGCCTGTGCTGGGGGTGGCCGGGGATGGGTGGCGGAGGGGTTTGTGAGTGCCCCGTGGGCAAGTGCACCAGCCTGACCCCAATGTGAGCTGAGCGTGCCCTCGGTGGGCTCCAGCAGGGTGGAGGTGCCGGCTGCTCCTGGTGGATGAGTACTGGCAGCGAGGGACCAGCACCGAGGGACTGGTTTTGCTGTAACGGTGCTGCCAGCACCCCACTGGGCAGCACACGTGCCAAGCTCGTGCCACGTGTCTGCTCCCCAAAACGAAATGCAGCCACACTGCACCAAACGAGTGCTGTGGGGCCCTCCTGGTGCGCCCAGCTTGGAGCCCTGGCAGCAAAGTGCTTGGGGCTGAGCCCTGCAGCTCAGCACGGTGGATTTGGAGGCTGTTTCTGTGCGCTCCCATCCAGCAGCAGGAGGCCACCGGCGTTTCCTGCCCCCTCCAGCCCCCAATGGCCCCATGGCACCGCAGCCCTGCGGGCTGGCTCAGGAAACCGAGTGGTTTACCCCATAGAGAGGCTCTTTTTCCCCATCCTGCCAGCTCTGGTGCTGTCCCCCTCGCACGTACCCAGCACCCAGCCTCAGCACGTGTAGGACCTGGCCGAGCCCACGGCCCCACAGCCAGCCCCACGCTGCTTGGGACCGGCCGACACCGACAGCCCCACGTGGCGGCAGGGGAGGTGGCTGGGGCTGGCTGCCCACAGTTTTCACATCTCCCGCTCCCTTCCCTTTCATCAGGATTCAATAATCATTTGCTTGCACAATACGGGAAGCAATTGCAACATCCCCAGCCCCACTGTCTCGCCAGGACTTTTTATAACCTGCGCCGCGCACAGGCCCGGGGCGAGGGGCGCTGCTGCTTGTCCCATGGCACAAGTGGGAGGGGTGGGGGAGGCAGCACGCAGCATCCCGGGCTTCTTGTGGGCTCCGAGGGAAGAAACGGGGCAGAGGCAGTGCAGATGTTGGAGCTGGAGCTGGAGCTGGCCAGCAGGTGCACCGACATCGCTCCTCCGTGGCCAGGGCGGTGGAAGGGGAAGCACCAGCGTGGTGGCAGCGGGACGGTGCTGCCGGGACACTGCTGGCACCCACGGTGTGTCACCCAGACAGGGGGTGGCACTGGTGGGAAACCAGAGAAATTAAAAGATCTCTTTTGGCCTGGCAAGCCTTGTCTTTGAAGAGGGACCTCCCCCCCCGGCCTTGCTGTGGGATGGGGGTGCCAAAGGGGGAGGCACAGGTGGGAGGGACCCTGGGACCCCCCAGCTGTGCCAGCCCCAGCACCGTGGCCTTACCAGTGCCTCCAGTTTCACAGGTCACAGGGCTGGGAAATGGAGCATGCGAGTTCCTAAATAGTACAAACAGCCTGGGGTTTGCACTGGGAAAATAACATCACCCCCCCACACCCTCCCGGTGACTTCAGAAAGGCTGCGGGAGCCTCCTTGGAGCCGGGCGGGCGGCGCAGATGTGGCCGCAGCTGGGCTGAGCTCGCAGCTGCAGCGGGGCCGTGGTGCTGAGCCCTGCCCTGCACCCTGTGGGGAGTGAAACGCTGTGGGTCCTGTGCCATGCCCTCTCCGTGCCCTCTCGCTGCCCTCTCCATCACAGCACCAAGGCGAAAGGGCACAGCCCGTGTGGCACAGGCTGCCTGGAGGGGTTGGGGTCCCCCCAGAGGGTTTCAGCCCCGCACGCTGCTCTCCTGAAAATCTCTGAGGAGCCCCAGGGGTCTCCCCTCTCCTCCTGCGCCCTCCCTGTGCTGTTTTCTCGCCGCTCTTCCACTTTTCTCAGCAGTGGCCAGGGGTCACAGCTTTGCTCCCGTTCCTCACACGCCTTTCTTCCTCCTTCGGGAGGCATCTCCCAAGTTTTGCTTCCTTTTTCTTTAGCCCCCACGCAGGGGGGGCACAACTCTGGCCCCACTCTGTCTCCAGTCCCATTTGGTGCTTCCTGGCCATGTGTCCCCGGGGAGCCGCAGCAGCAGTGGGACACCCATCAAGCCCCTCCTGCGGAGCTGGGCCTGGGACCCCCCCCCAGGAGTCCCTGCGTGGTGCCCCCACCCCATGTGCGTGTCCCTGGGGCTGGGACCAAGGCCCCCAGCGTGGGCTGGCCACGTGTGGAGGCCCAGCGCTGCCGGCTGCGTCCTCCCGTAGGGAGGCAGCAAAACACCGTCTATGGCAGCGCGCAGCCGGCCGGGGAACGCGGGAAGGCTCAGAGCAAAGCTCATCCCCAGCTGGGTTCCACTTCTGCCAGGGTCTGCAGCGATGTTTTGTCCCCCTGTGCTGGGGGGTGGGATGGCAGGACCCCCGAACCCGCAGCAGGCTGGCACCGCAGGACCCCTCCTGTCCCGTCTGCTTCATGTCCCCAAACCAGTGGCAGTGGGGCAGCACTGGGAGCCCCTCCTGGAAGGGTGACATACAACGGGGGTAGGCATCGAGGCCCCCAGCCCCTGCAGGTCCCCACTGCCCCTCAGCGCCCTGCTTGGGGTGGCCGTGCCTGGGGGGAGCGAGGCTCCCCCACTGCCCTGGGAGCATCCCCAGCCTGCCCCGGCTTTGTGCACCCCTCTGAGAGGCGTGCTGGGTGGGGATGTGGCTCAGGGGCAGACCTGGGCCAAGGCGTTGTGGGACAGAACTGGTCTGGTTCTGCCTCACCCCTTTGGAGGCTGAGGGGACTTGTGCCCAGCACCCCGTGACAGTGCTTGAGGCCAACACGGCGGCACAGGGAGAGCTGATGGCCACAGCCCCCCCTGTGGCACTGCTCCCATCCACCCCACATGAGGCTCAGCGGGATGTGTAGGGCATGGGGCTGGGCAGCAGAGGGACAGCTGGGGCCACAACCCTCCCTTACATCCAGGCAGGGTCTGAGGTGCCCACACTGTGCCCAGCCCTCACCATGCTCAGCCCAGCCCTTCGGGGCACAGTGGCGGAGGACCGAGCTCTTCCTCCATCACGGGGAGCTGACGGGCGCTGTTTGGGGGGCTACAAATCAGAGCTGAAAAGCCCAGGCTGGACAGGCTGTCTGGGAACTCGTAACCTGAGCCCCAGGAAAGAAGGACTCAGGAAAGCGCTTTCAGCAATCATATTCATCATCTTCAGCCCAGGCTCATTAGGCTCGCCGAGCCCAGCCCCGCCGCTGCCAACGCCTCCCGCACGCAGATAGAGCTGCCGGCCCAGACAAATAAATGCTTCCAGCTTCCCGGTGGATGCGGCAGGTCAGGGAGCATCTGATGCCAATTACCTGCGGTGTAGGGTTCCCCGGCCGCTCTCGCCGGCCCCGCACAGCGAGGCTCTCCAGTCCCTGTGCCCACCTCTCCCTGTGGCCTTGGGGGTCCTGGCCCCTGCCCAGGCCTTGTTCTTTGGGGACCAAGGGGGGAGTCTGGGGCTCCCATCTCTTGCAGGTGGAAGAGCAGCCCCGTGACACTGGTGGTGGCTCCTCCGTGATGGGAATGGGGACCGGAGATGTTTCAGGGGACACCCCTCTGTGTGACCGACCCCACCATGGCTGGAGCGCGCGTCCCTGCCGGGGCTTAACTCCCCCAGGTCATAACCGCGGTGGGAGCAGCTATGGGGCCTTGACGAGTGCTGCTGTAAAATGGGTGCAGGCGGTCGTGCTCGCACGGCGGCTCTTTGGGGCGCTGCACGTTTCCACCGCTCCGGGCTGCCGCCGGCCGGGATGTCCTTAATGGGCCCAAAGGTCGGCGTCCCCGCACCCGGGGCCACGTGGCAGAGGGACCCCGGGCAGGAGCCCGGCACGGACGCGAGTCACTCAGCATCAACGCTGGGGGCCAGGAAATTGCAGCGGACACAAACCTAAATACACCGTGCGTCGCCCCCAGGTAATCAGGGGCTTGGCCAGATTCCGGCTGACAGCTTAAATGCTTTAATTCTTCGGACGCTGCGTTTCAAGGGGGTCCCGTGCGCCGAGAGCTTCTCCCAAACGGTTTTTGTGCTGGAGATTTGTCTGTAATTGGAGGCATGTTTCATTCCCCTGAAACTAGCCAGGTCCCCGCTGGAGGAGGGGGCTGCGGGAAGGCAGCAATTTCCCTTATGGAATTATTTACCTGATTAGAGAGTTTATTTTATCAAAATTGCTTCAGAATGGGGCCGCTCAGTGTGTCCAGTGTGGGGAGCTCCCTGGTGGGGCTGGCGGCCTGGAGACAGGTAATTTGTGTGGTTAATGGGACTAATCCACCAGGCAATTACACCAATAGATTTCACGGCTGCAAAGTGCTCTGTTCCCATTAATTAAAAATCTGTTAAGAAGATTAGCACGTAAAGGTATCAAAAGAAACCCAAGAGTTTCTTTCCTCACCGGCCCCCGAAGGCGAGTGTGGGAGTGCTGGATTGCTCGCATTAGCACAAAAATTATTCTTTTAAAGGTAAGGGCTCCACATCCAAAGTAACTGCTGACAGTTTTCCCTGACTTCCCCACCAAGAGGTCCTTTATGTTTAATTATAGTTTGTTTAAATTAGCCCTGATTGTTAGCATGGAGTGCTAGTTTAAATATATTCTGAAGGCATTGTTCGCCCTGCCGGGGTGGGGGGGGCCGCCCCTGGCTGAGCCCTGTGCCTGGGGCAGGTGCCCCCGCACCCAGCGAGGGGATTGGGGACGGGGGTCCCGGGTGGGCATGGGAATGGGGGCTCCCAAACCGAGCATCCCCTGCCTGGGCCAGCCTCGATGCAGCAGCAGGAGCCCTGCAGGGGCCCAGCCACCAAGCACTGGGCTTCAGTGGGCATCCCCCTGGCACGTGGTGTTCCCATACCCCCTGGAGAGCCCCGTGCCCCCCAGAGTGTCCCATGCCCCCCAGAGGTGCCCATGCAGTGCAGCAGCACCCACTGCATCGCTCCGTGGTGCCGGCCGCATCGCCCCAGCCCTTCACTCCCTGAGCCACTCCTGGCCTTCGTCCACAGCCAGACAACAAGTGAAACAAAAGCGAATTCCCCGGCAGCTGAAGGTGCCATTTTTACGGCTTGGCTGAGCAAGGAAGTATTTTTTTGATCTCTTAAAATCCTGAATATTATCTGACAGTTTATCTTGTTTCTCCGCATCCGTGTCTTTGCAGCAACGCCAGCTCATTTACATGTGTATTGCGCCTGCCTCCACGGGTGCTGAGGTCAATTGAAACTCAAGAAAAGAGGAGAAATTTATGCAAAACTGTTGATTGCATTTGTATGTAATGAAATCATCCAATATTCATCTGACTATAGACTCTAATCTGAAAGGAGAAGTGAAGGACATAAGAGTCACTGGAAAGCAATAATGAGCTTCTGTAGTGATTAAAAAAGCACTTGAGCTTTCTGAAAATCCAGCCAGAAATCGTGTCTAATCAACACGGAATATAGGAGGCAGAGATTACATTGATACATTTTGCAAAGCTCACTGTTGAAAATGTATGCGAGCTGTAAACTCTGACATGCCATCCATGGTCTGTTTTATACAAATCCGGGAGGCACACAATCAGAGCCTGGGCTCGTCCCTGGCACAAAGCAATCTTGGTGTCTCTGCTCGATGACTCATAAGGAGTGCAATCACATCTATTTTGAAGAGCAATGTTGTTTTTTAACTGTGTCGAGAGCTTCCAGCTTCCTCGGAGTTTTTCCTGCCTTTCGCTTCCACCCTGCTTTCCCCGTGGCCACGGCTCTCAACGTGCGGGTGGCAGGAGCCCGACGGCGCTGCTGCGGCTCCACCGAGCAGCAGCCCGGAGGGGAGCAGAGCGTGGAGCTGCCGTCCTCAGCCATCGTGCTGGCACCCACGGTGCTGGGGTAGGGCACTTGGGGGTCTGGGCACAGCCCCCCTCACATCCCATCACCCTCCTGTGAACCCCCCTCCTGCTGCTGCTGCACCCAAACTGTTTGATGGCCAAAGCAGCTTGCTGAAATCAGTGTTGTTACACCCAAATGTTTTCTGGCTGCAGTCTCTGTTCCTCCTGGGTTATTTGGCGCAGCTGGAGCTCCTTCTCCACCCTCCAACAGCATCAGCTGCAGCTTCTTATCAGCGCTGGGCACAATCCAGGCTCCAGCTAACTGAAGGGTTGCTGCTGGCACTGGTGGAGGGAGCCTTTTTATTTCCACCTTGCGTTGCTGTGTGCTGGAGATGCTGGTGTGGTTGGAGCAGCAGCAGCAGAGCAGATATTCAGCAGGAGCAGCCCAGAACCACCCCTGTGAGTCTACTGGATGTGGTGACAGTAAGTGTGATGTCCCCTGTCTTCTCTCCTGGACTAGCAGTGACCCTGCTGCAGGCTGCCTGTGCTGTGGCAGGCATGGGGTTATCTCCCTGCCTTGCATGTGGTTGGTGCCCTGGTGGCCCTGTGTAGCTGGAAGGTGCCTGTCCTGCTGTTTGAAGGACAGGTGAATGGTGTGGCTCTGGTTGGTGTGTGCTGCTCCCTCAGGGCTGGGGTAACAGTGGCTGTTGGTGGCACACAGCACTGGGGGCTGCGGGAGGACACGGGGGCTGCCTCCCCTGCCTGGTGCCCTACTGTGTGGTGATCAGCTCTTTGTCTCTATTTCCCTGCACAAAACCTGCCTTGGCACCTGTGTTGTTGTGCCACTGAGGCCTGCATCTCTCCCCTTGCCTCGCAAAGACACTGGGTACCCATACCAGGGACAGGTGGCCCTGTCCCCACAGCACATGGCTGCCGGTGCCTGAGGGAGGCCTGGGGCAGCCATTTTGGATGGCGCTCAGGTGCCTGTACAGCAGCTCTGGTTTTACCCCTGTTTCTAACTAATGTGGAGTGAGGTGTGACAAGAATAGCAGTAAATACTTGGGGAATTCCCCCATGCAATGGCTCCCTGCAGCTTTGCTGCCATCACTACTGCCTTTAAGGCTGGGAGAACAGGAGGAGGCCGGAGGAGCCCCTGTGCCTTCCCTTCCAAGTGCACGTCCCTGCCACAACGGTCCCAGGCAGGTACAGGGGAAACCCTTTGGCCCCAGGCTGCTGCTGGGATGTAGAGGCTGCAACAACAGCAAAAAAGCCCAGTTGATAAATGTCAGAAGAAATACAGTAATCAGCTGAAAGCAATTTACTGAGCCATGTAACCGCCCTGGGCTCGCCATTTTCCTTTATTCATTTATCATGGTAAGTGCTTTGGCCAAAATACACAAAGCAGAGAAATTGTTGACATGTGGGGCCCTAGCAGAGCAAATCCTTCATCCTTCTCCCCCTCCCCACTGTGCACAAACTAACTTTTTGGGAGTTGTTTATTTAAGGACTGCAGAGGCTTGGTGCTCTTTGAACCCAAATGCTTTGGGAGTGGGGCTATGGTGCTGGCCACCACCTTCCCTCCGTCTTGCCATTGCCTGAGGCTGCTTGCTGCTGTTGGAAAGTACCTGCTGGTAACCAAGGGTTATAGTATGTGCTCAGGACCATGTCATGATTCTCCCTTCTCTAACCTCTGGAATGTGGAGCAAGCATTGCATGTGGGAAGATGTTGGCTTTGTAGACTCGTGTGCTGACTGTTGGTTGTCTTACTCCTGGCAAAACCAGCCATGCTCACAGTATTAATTTCAATTCTCTATCTATGAAGCCTAGGGAACTGCAAAGCCATGGTTCCTGCTGGTTGGTGTGCAGCAGGTGGTGATGAGTTGCCACACACCCTCCAGGAGCGGCTGGTGGCCAGGTTGCAGGTAGCTGTGCCAGCTGCTTCTCTGGAGAGGGGTGAACTCACTTTTGCTTTATTTTAAGCAAGAATAAACGAGGGTTACAACAGGAGCATCAAGTTCCTCCTGCATGTGGTGCATGCTTCAACCAGCCCTAGGCTGACTGCTGCTAGAAGCACAACCAGGCCAGGGTGCGAGGCGATTCCACAGCCCTGCAGAGGGTAGGGTGTGCAGGAAACAGGCCAGCAAGGAGGTGACATGTCGGGTGGTATGAGCTTCACCCACTCCTGCTGAATTGATGCCAATTCTGCTGATGCCTGAATGAAGAACAGCAAGGAGAGTTTCCCCCTTCCCTCCAGCACCATCCAGGTTCAGGAATCCCAGTGGCTGGGGGATCCCAAAGCCCAGATCTGCTCTGGAGGTCTGGGAGACCTATCCCTGCCCATCACCTGAGGCTGCCTGACTCCAGGCAGGGATGGCCAGTGGGGTATGTGGCAGTCTGTTCTTTCTTGTGGGGGGGAGAGCATGTCCATATGGATGACGTTTATCCAAGCAGCTCCTTGGTCTTTGCTGCCAGCAACTTGTCCATCTCTGCTGCAGCGTTGTCTGCCATTTGCTGGATCTGTGGCAACACAGCACAAGTCTGAGTCACGTACTAGGTAATGTCACAGTTTAAAGGAAAGGAACGACCAGACCATTTCCTGAATGAAAGCCTAAAGCCCTCATGAAATCCAAAATAGTGCTTGGGCAATAGCTGGCTCTTCCTAGAGCTCACAACTGCCCTGGGTGAGTCATTGCCAGTGCTACATCTGCATGGTGATAACACTGATCGGTCAAAGGCTCTGAAAAGAGAAGCTCAACATGGGCTGTCTGTGCAGCTCCTACTTACTGGTGATAGACTTGGATGCCAGCATCGTGAGGGATCTGGGGGACTTCCCCACCAGTGCTCTGCTATTTCAGTTAGACCCGCTCAGCACCCAAAGATGTCTGCACGTGCAAGTGCCCTGTATCTAATTTATGCTTGCTGCAATCCTTGCTCTCCTTTCCAAGGCTCCTGGCAAAAATCTTGGCTGTGCTTCACAAGTTACTTGGTCAAGACCTTATTTACTTCAGGGAAAGGCAGAGTCAGAGACCAGCTGGTGTCTGCACCAGAGCAGAGAGGGCTTATCTCTACAGCCTTCTATTATTAGAACAGACCAGGTCACAGCAGGAACACAGCCTTAGCACACTAAGAGTTCATACATGAAATAAACAGACTTGTTACTGCTTGTAAAAACGAAAATTCTTGTAAACTGTAAGTTTCTTTTCCTTGTGTAAGAAACTTCTTGTAAAAAGAAGTAAACAGCTATTGCTAAAGCCCTGTCTATTGATCATGGTAACATGGGATGGACAAGGCAAACAGTTCCAAAATGGGCATCTGTGTATTTGAGTGAGTGAAGGGTGCATGTGCAGAGAAAGGTTGGAGCCTCTGGGACTTTTGTGTACTACTTTTATAGGACTAATTAAGGTGCACTCGATTCCAAGGTCCAAGGCATATGAGTATAAGACCTTTCGTGCTAAAAAAAAATTTGGGTACAAGTGAAAACTAGACTTGAGATGCTACCTCTCTAAATGCAGAAAACCAGCTGTGTGCTGTGGGACAACTGCTTCCCAACAGGATTCAGTTACAATAGCATGGCCATTTTTCCTGCTTGCACAAATGCTCTGTATATCAATGTTTATTTTTTTGAGCGCTCAGAGAACAGTTCTGAAGCATTTGCAACGTATCTAACTTTAGCTGTTAATAAACAAACAGCTAAAAAGTAATGGCCTGCCTTCAGAGGCATCAATTCAGCAAAACACTTATGCTTGTGCCTGAGTTTTTGCCCAAGTAATTGACTTTAGTGACATCTGCTCTTAGGGAATTAGGCGTGTGCTTAAGTATTTTCCTGAATCAGAGCCAAAAAACTCCTAACAGAGAATCTTGCTAGCCTTTTCATTAACAACAAACTGGAGCAATCGTCATTAATGCCAGCTGTTTTCTGATGTCCAGGCACTGCTTAAGTGGTGGTAAAACTTTGGGTAGCTTTGCTCCCCAAGATCAGCTGGTTTGTGTAACAATCCCTTGGACTACAAAAGCTTTCGGGGAAAATGTTTTTTCCTGTTTCAGCTTATGGTTCATACCATAAATTTGGCTTTGAGATTCAAGCCTGAAATCTCACAAAGAAAAAAGCAAATACAACAGCTGTTGCCTACTCCAAAAATTCAACCCAGGGTCACTTCTTTTCCAGCCAGGTTCTCAGTGCTGGAGGTTTGTCAGAAAGCTCTGGCATAAACGCTCACTGTGTGTTCACACTACTGAGCTGTGAAACATGATATGCTAAAAGGAAAAAAAAATTACCTGCTTTTCTAGCAGCCAGATGGTATCTTCAGACACTTTGCTCTTGAACTTCTTTACCTGGTTCATGCTTTTGCTTCGCACCTTTCTCAAGGCATCTTTGGATTTGTTGGTGGATTGTTTGGCAAGCTTGGCCAGGCTCTCCCTGTGCTCTCTGGTGACCCTATCAACAAAGAAGGGAAGAGAAAAGTGTCACATGTAGCACAGCCAGATTTATTTCCTGTGATTGGCAGACTGGACTTGGGGTAAATTCAGTGGCCATCTCTGCTGTGGCACCTTTCAGAGAACTCCCCTTCCTCTGGGGCTGATGGGCTGTGAGAGAGCACCTGTGTGGTGCTGTGCAGGTGTTACGATGGTGCTGGTTCTGTGCAAGGCTTCACGTCGCAACGGTGCTGCCCAGGGCATGCTTTTATCCTGCTTTGGTCACCCTGAGGCAGCTCAGCTACCTCTGCACATCTGCCATGGCAACACATCTCGGCACAGAGAGTCTCGAGCCTAGAACAGAAAGTTCCCAGCACAGCTCTAAGCTTAGGGACTTGGACTGAATCTCACTTGTTTTATGGTTGTCGCTGCAGTGCCTGAAAGTCATGCTGAAATGTTTAATTTCTTTTTTCTCCTGCCAAAGCATCTGCAGGGAAGAGGGAAAATCCAGCTCCAGACCTGAGACAGAGCTGAGAAGTGTAATTTCCCTGCAAAGCTGTGAGGAAACCTCCATCCATTCCTGAAACTCAGAGCTGTCTCCCTGCAACTGGAAGAGGCTGAATCATTTATCTGGAGCCTATAGAGCTTGTATTTCACTTGACCTTACTCCAGCTCATCGTGACCAGGCATCTCCACCGAGACCGTGTGTAACACCCTGTCTGACAAGGAGGTGACACCAGAAATGGATCTGACATTAGCAGCTCGTACAGCCGCAGGTGATGTGACACAGAGCTCCAGCTCTCCCCTGACACAGTGCCAGTCACAGAAAACTTCCAACTTTCCATCCCAAACTGAAACCTGAAGGTGATGAGGGAGCCTGGGATCGGCTGACATGTCATCTTAGCTCCAGTAGTGTTCCAGCACTTACAGCTGATCACTGTCAGCATCAACTGTTAGTGCTGAACAATAATATTGTAAATTATTTTCATGGCTATTGCGGTTTCCACATCACCTTGAGAATAAACGCAGTGCTCTCGCTGAGACTTGCTACGCAGAGAGCTCCCGTCTGCTCGCGGAAGATATTGCAAAATAAACATTTCACGCGAATATTTAGAAATTGGCTGCAACAGCCTGGGTCACCAAAACACTGAGGCCAAGACTCTTCCTGCAAAGAAATCAGGAAACCTGGGGCGAAGGCTCCCGCAGCAGCGCCAGCTCTGCCCCCTCGCGGGTATTGCTTACGGGGAGGCTGTCAGCGTGCATCGCCCTGTGCCTCTCGGAGCTTGCTGCAGCCCCATGCGTCGTGCTGCCTCTGGCACCGTCCTGCAGCAGATGTTTGCAGGGGCTCCGACCGCTGCTCAGCACCGCCGGCTGTTTTTACTTTGAGGTACAGGAGGGAATAAGCTTTCCTGAACTGATCAGCGACTGCAGGGACTTGGTATCCCTGGAAGGGCTGAGAGATGTAGAGCTGGGACCCAGCTGTGGCACTGTGGTGCCCCCTCGCACCCAGGGGACACCCTGGGGACAGCGACGTGGCCCCGTCCTTGCTGCCAAGGGGGGCGAGCAGCACACAGACGGCGAGGGGCTTCTGGGCAGCACAGGCCGGGACTGGGACTCGAAGGCCTAATTAGAAGCGAGCGGGGTTACTTGTGGTTTCCTGTGCATCCCAACGCCGATGCCTTTAGGGCTTCTTTTGTTTAAAATCCCAAGCCAGAGGTCCTGCGGCACATGCAAAGCCAGCTCATAAACAGAGGTCTGGGTGAGGTCAGGTTCTCAGGCAGCTTTCTGAGGGGGCAGGGAGAGGAGAAAAAAAAATAAAATCCGTGGCTGCTAAACTGGGAGGAGGGAGCTGGAAACCTCTGCTCTCCTGCTGGGCGGTGGGGCGAGCTGGTCCAGGAGGATGGCCTCAGCTGGGGGAGGCAGAGTTTGCCCTTCGCTTTTCACCTCCCCACTCGCTTCAGCTTGTGCGAATTGTGCTGAGGGTATCACTCGCCTGCTCGGGGCTGCCGAGCCTTTAAGGAAATGTTTTTGTTTATGCAGGGCTGCCAGATTTCCTATGCTTCTTGGCACAGGGTCACAGCTTTCGTGCCTCCTTGTCTGTCTTTATTAACACCAATTTCTTTTTATCACTGCGCAGTGCCGTGGAGTTTCTCAGCGGGTTTTACGTTCCAACCAGACCGTATGTAAATTCTCAGCAATGCTACCACCGATGCCAGAAACGGACACTTTTTCAGTCAGATGCTGTTTCTGGTTAAGGAATCCATCAACATGAGCCAGGCCCATGGTTTTTAAGGACAGTTGTTTATTCCTGTACCCAGATCTGGGACTCTTAAGCTGTCTAGTAACCGTTGCAGCTGCTTCCTCTTTAATCCCCCAAAAGCATGAAGCAAACCTGGGGAAGGGGTGCCAGAAGCAGGGCACAAGGACAAGGTTCCCATCCAGGGGCAGCTGCTGGATCAGTGCCACCACCACAGGTAAAGTGGCAGGGCTCAAACCCCGTGGGTTTCCAGGGACGATCCTGCCCTGCCAGGATCATAACAGAGCCTGGTGCCCGCGCACCAGTGCGTTCAGAAACGCACCCTACACCGTGGGTAACATCTCCTCTGTTTCTGCTTCAGTCAGCAACCAGTGGTTTAAGCACTGCAGCACTTGGATGCTCCTTTCCCAGCATATGGCATGAGCACACCCACAGTGAAAACAATGCAGGCCACATCTCATCTCCAACACAAGGCGTTTATGCGGGTAAGAATAATTTCTGTATCTCAAATGCTAGGAATTTCCTGTGAATGAGAGGGATCAGTTCAAGGAAAGTAGGCTTAACTAGATACTCTGCATGCATAATTGCAGATAAACATAGGGTGCAAAATATATTATTCAACAAAAAGCATGAAAGAGACTTATTATGATGAGCGATCTGGAGCAACGCAGCTCAAACAGCTTTGTTTTCTTCAAATGAAATTTCTCAAGTCCCTTCTCCCCATAGTAGGTATCTTTGCATATTTCTTAAAGGGCAAAGGAAAATAAAAGCTCACAATGAGTCATTAAACTTTCAAATGAGTCATCTGGCTTTCAGTAAAGCATGTGTAAAAATATTACTAATTTACAAACAATATCCAGTGTAACACAATGGGTCCAAAAAAGATGAATCTAAAAATGAGGCAATACCATAAAAGACACAAGGTCAGGTCAAATTCGGCCACGAGATCGACCAATACAAATGTTCCCATGGCTGTGTTTTTTTCTTCTTTTTTTAAACCCTCAGGGAATAATTTTTATATAAATAAATATTGCCTATGCAGTGCTAGCAACACAAACAGGCTAATACCTTAGGGAGTAGAGGGGATCCTAGCAGGAAGCAGAAATAAACACCAACAAAACAGTGTATTTTTAAAACTAGTGTACATTCTAACTGCAGTGCAAAAACTTATTTAATAGAATAAATACTGAAAAGTAAATTTCATTTTTAAATGCTTGGTCAAAACAATCTCAAGCCCTGATGTGTAGCTGCACATACGAGGCAAAATATAATGCATGGGTGTTCACCTGTTAAGTCTGATTAAAAAGTGTTTTTAGGAGCAGGCAGAGATTGTTCGTGTTTGATTTACTTTTAACATCTTCCCTCATGAAAGAATCCCTTTCTGCAGAAACACTGTCTCTTCATTGTTTGCCTGTTTTGCACACCTGCTGTAATTTTGATGATTTCACTGCCTCCATCTGTTGTATGTTCTTTGCAAATATTTTTAGAGAGTTCAGAAAATTAAATAATTCAGAAAAATATAGAAAAAACAGTTCAGAGTAGAAAAAATCAATTCAGAGATATAATATTGAAGAGTAGTCTCTGGCTGAACTTGCTTATTTTTCTTCCATTTGCATTAGAAGGTTTTAAAGATTGAAACAGTCTGCTTCACTTCTTGATAAGTGGATGAAACTCTGACAGATTTAGTTGTGTCAATAGAGTGGGTCAGAAAATGGAACTAGAGGCGCCCACGAGGGCAGACCTGCAAGGCAAGTTTTCCAAGCTGAAAATCAATTTAACTTAGGACTCCCTGGGCTGCCGACTGTCCAGGAAGAAAGCGACCAAGAGCAGCAACCCTTGTGCACCAGAGGAACAAGGGAGCATGTTAGATCTTTCTTGGGGAGAGAAGACCTGGTTTTGATCCATGACACCACAAAAGAAAGTGACAGAACGTACATATTTGTTTGAAAAACAATATTTTTTTAAAGATCAAGATTTGTAGTTTTGGAGTTTCCTCCCCTGCAATTCATATTCAAGGATGACCCAAGTGCCCATTAACAATCAAACCACTGTGCAGCAACCCGGGAGCCTCAGCAATTATGAAGATAATGGTGCCCTCCTCCTCTGCCTCCTCTCCTGAGGAATGGGGGAAGGGCAGAGAGCACGGGGGGAAAAAGAAAATCAGCAAATAGAATGATAATGTCATTCCCTTTCACCGACAGCAACAGAAAGCTGCAATTAGACTTCTCTTGAATTTTATCTAGCATTTTGATCAGAGAATTTCTAAAGTAGATCTAAGGCACGAGAAATACTCGGTTCATCTTTACTTAGCAGTCACCTGCTCCTAAAACACAGCGCACGTGTGCAGGGTTTGCGTGTGCAGCCATCCCTTTGTGGGAGCTGTTCACAGCACCCCAGGGCCACGTAACCCTGGGGTGGCAGATCACACAGGGGACTTTGTGCCTCTGCGTCTGACCAGGGCGTTTTGAGGGCTCTGTCACTGCAGGGTCTGAGCACGCACAGGTGCAAGGGCTGCTCTGGTCCCAGGGACTGAATGTGGGTGAGCTTACCCTCTGAAGGGTCCTCACCACAGCCCCCTGTGTTATCTTATGTGAGGGTGAACTTGGGCAGCTGTGGGCACTTACTTCGGAATCGGCACCCGAATCAGCGTCCCATCCACTTCTGGGTTCAGGTTCATTCCACTCTCCCTTATAGCCTTCATAGCTGCAGCTGTGCTCTGTAAAACAGATCAAAAGGTAAAGAGAATTAGGAAATAATCATTCCCATATGCCAGAACTCTGTCAATAGTTGGCAATCCATCTCCACAGAACATGGAAACATTTACTTCTGTTACCAGTAAGATCAGGAAGTTACATTGGTGCGGAGAGCTTTGATCAAACTGAATGGGAAACTATGGCTGTGCTCGGTATCGGGGTAGGAAGGGCACAAAGGGGGGAGAGGGGAAGGGAAGCAACAACAAAAGAAAACTGTTTTGCTTCTTTGAAACTATTTGAATGGTTTGAGGCAATGCAGAGTGAAACCGCAATAAATTCCCTAGGCATAGCCTGACTGTGGCAAAGGAGATGAAAGATTCTGAGCATTTAAAAATTCCAGTTGAATGTTTTCCACTAGAAATCACACAGTGCCAATTTAGAAAAGTTAACTAACTTAACCACTTCAGCACTACAACCTAACCACATTACATCAGTAGCAGTTGGCTGAGAACGGAGCCTGTGCCCAGCTCTGTTTATTTTACAGCTTATTACTTAGGATTAAGTTTTCAAAACTCCATCACTGCTGACTGACACTGCTCTGCTTAAAAGGTGAGGTGTGCAGGTTTGCTTGGGAACTACAAAGTGAGTAAAATGCTTCCTTCCCCATTTTAGAGTGCTGGTGAACTTTCACACAGCATCAAACGTTATGGTTAAATCACAGCTTTGCTGGCAACTCCCACAGTGCTCTGCCAGTTTGTTTCGTTCTTTGACATTGACAATAACAAGACCGAACTGGTCTATTCCTTTGGCACTAGTGTGGCATTTCCTACAAGGCGCATTGCTATTTCTGATATTCTTTCCCATTGTTAACTTTAGCTCCAGGCTGCTACAGTAGACTGTGTTTATGAAGTTCAGTTTCTATCAACCGAGGCACAAACTAAAGCTCTGCACATTCATTTAGCTCTGCAACGCGTGATGTCACTGAATGAAATTAATGCTGGTCTCAGTGTTCTGTAAAACACAACGGCCATACTCTATAACACAAAAAGTGCAGAGAAAACATAACAAAGAAGATTTCAGCATGTTAGGACTGTAACGTGTTATTCTATGCACAGTGCATGCTCTGTAGGAAGAGAATGCTTGCTAGAAGTTGTATTGTTTAACATATGTTCTAGAAGAGATAGAAATAGTGAAAATATTGTCCCCATCCTATCGCAGCACATAAAATATCTGTAGTTAAAAGACATGATCTTGTTTGTTTTGTAACTCTTGGGCAAACGGGATTTGGCCCTGTAAGTCCTCTTCTATAATTATTTTCTTTTCCAGACTCTTCAGGGATTTTTATTTGCTTTTCAATGCTATGAAGTATTGGCTATATTCTATAAATAATGACATCACATGAAAGTGAGTATAATGTTATTAAGCAGTTCAGCCTATCCGTGGAACAGTTGTGGTATAAAATATTGCATTGAGAAATATTTACAGCTCTGGTTCAAATGAAAAGTGGTCCTTTGGCTTAGAAAGCAAATGCAGGCAATGGTAGACACGACGATATTGGTATCTTGATCTGCATGGACAGAGGCTGCATCATGCCATGGCTCCTCCGGCCCTCTCAGCTCTGGCACTCTGAGGGACCTCGGTGCACTCGCTGATGAGGGGCCTTCAGTCTTCGAAGTCATTATACGTGCTGGATACACTTTAAGAAACACTTAGGCATCAAGTGCCTTATGCTGACCTCCTCTGAGACTTTGCTGACTTAATTAATTGGGGAAAGCCTTTGCAAAATAAATAGAGATAAGCTTTGGCAAGCCTCCAGACCCGGAGCGGGATGAATAGCTAACCTTGCGGTCGCTGCCGCTCGCATCTGCAGGTCGATCTGCAGGAGCCCCCTGTGAGGGACTGCTAATGCCTGATCCTGGGGTGTGATTCGTACTTGCTGCCTAATTTGGGGGCAAGTCTAAGCCTCCTGCAGAAGACTAAGGGAAACTGACCCAAATTTAGGGGTTCTGATCTGAAGGCGCTGTTAATGGAGGAGCTCACTAACTACAGCAGGCCCCGTGTTAGGCCTTGCTCCCGTTAGCCCAGGCCCAGCTCAGAGGCAACATCAGCAGCTGCTTTCCATGAGCTTCCAGGGGGTGCCCTCAGCCTCTGTGCTCAGTAAGCAAGCTTTATAGGAGTTTGATGGTGCCCCCAGCACAAGTACAGACTATTCCAACTGAACTTATGTTTCAGCACATGGCTGTGTCTCCTCAAGGCGCTGCGCTGATATAAAATGTCAGGGCAGATCCAGCACTGCTCCCACATGTGGAGATCGGGTCAACCAAAGGAGAGGGTGCGTGCATAAGACTACTGGGTGCAGAAAAAGCAGGGGAAGCAGAGACCTGGCAGGGCACGGTGTGTGCAGGTGTCCTGCCAAGCACTGCAGCACCCTAACCCCCAAAGCAAGCTGACCGGTCAGTGGTGTGCTCTGGGTATGAGCCTGAGGGCCCTCATGGCCTGATGTGCAGCACACCACTCCTGTCTGACCCCAGTGCTGCCACACGTGGGAGATGCCCTGCTCCAGACAGAGCACTTGCCCCGTGCAGCGTGCAGTCAGCAGCAAAATACGGCTTCTGTTTTGTTTCAGACGAGAAGCGATACTCGGTGCGGTCAGAGCTCTCTGACCCTGTCCGATTTGATTGATTTTGTCCAATTGCTTCTTTGCTCGGTATCAACCCGTTTGTTCTGTCAGTAATTACCTCCCTTTGCCATGCCTTCAGTAACGTGTCCTTACCTCAGGAAAATTGGTCATGTTGACTATGATGAGCTGAGGTGACTTCAGTGAGATTTGCCCAAGCTGGTTCAGCGGAAACTTCCCATCTTTCGTCACGACAATTATGTGATCAAGGGCCCCTCAAAAGAACCAAACACACGGGAATTTCAGTACGATACAGCACTTCAGGATGATGCTGTAGTAAAAACATGAATAGAGGGTCCCAATTTCCTTCTGTTGTGCAAAATATAGATGTTAATAAAGAAATTATGTATTTTTTTTTCATACTTCAGGTGCTGTTTATATTTCTGCATCCCCTGCGGTATTTGCAAGTTAATTATTTTAACACTGCTGTAGAGCACAAAAACGTGAAAACAAAACTCACTTGTTACTAGAATAGGAAAACTAAACAAAGATTGCAAAGAATAAAAAGGAAATATTTTTAATTCTTAAAACTTAAACATTAAAATGTTATTACAAAGATCTAGAAAATGATTGTCTTTAACTTAGCAACGTTCCCTTAAACCCCTCATTTTTTCCAAGTCCCAAGAGGAGGTGCTATACACTGCCTAATTTAAAGTATTCAGTTTCTCCCTGAGCTACTCTTAATCTGCTCTCTTGTTTCTGCTGCAAAATGTTAACAGGCCAAAAGGCACATGGGACAAGAGGTACTTTATCAGTGCAATTAAAAAAAATACCTATGGTTAAAATAAATAGTTAAGAGACTGAGCTACACTTTCCAACTCCATTAAAAACTGAAGTGCCCCTGCCAGAGCAGGGGTGGTGAATGATTCAAATTTGGTCATTGTTTAATGTTAAATTTTATCCCTGAAACTTGATACTACTTACAAATACATATGTTCAGAGTGTTATAGTAACTGTAGCTTAGTCAAATATATTCACGTTTCTTCCTGAAACACAAAATTCAGTAAGTGAATAAGGCTTGTAAAGGTCAGTAACCACAAAGATGCATAGCAAAAAAAAAAAAGTTTGTATATGCCAGACACCAGCCTGATGGCAATTTCCAAAAGGCTAATTTAATGGCAATTGGATTTTTCCTGCCCTACTGCACCATTAGCTGACAACCTGCTTCTTCATCACATCTGCAAACAGTTCAGTTAGACACTTTTGACATCTCCCACTTAGAAAAGCTATTTCCAGGAAGCTATTAACAAAAATAGATTCTTCCTGGTCAAGCTCAGGGTGAAGAGAGCCTTCAGTTGGGGATGTCAAGGTTGCAGTAATCGGGTGCCCAGTGAATAACTCAATAAAAAGAAAATCAATTTTGAAAAAAACGGACTTCTCTGTTACTAGGATGGGTATCCTTCCTTACAGGCAGTAGAGCACCGTACAAGAAAGTTACCAACCTGGTGAGGTTCTAACGCTGACATTTTTGTTGAAATCTTCTTTCAGAGCTTCCACCACCGCCTGCATGTCTTCATTGGTTGCCTCCAAATTGATAATATCTTCAACTAAGGCAGCATTGATATTCACTTTGGCTTGAGTCTGCCCTTTACCTTTAGCTGAGGATTACACAAAAAATATTTTCTGTTTCTGAGAACACTAAGTTGTTGTATTAGAAAGTAGAAAGAAGACGTTAGAACCACTGTTAGATTCAGAGTTGAGTCTAAGATAAACTGATATTCCTAAATGAGTAAATTGCCCAGCACTTGAGCACACGGGCAAGGTACGTTTGAAGGCTGTGCTGTGTGCACGAACTCTAACTCCACAGCCTGGATGGTGCCGATGGCTACTTGCTGCTGCAGTGAGAGCTCCACGCAGCACTTCTCCCTGAGGAAGGACTAAAAACTCCCGTACCCTGCAGTGCACTCGGGAAAGCTAGCTCCTTCAGGGCTGTGTTCTGCCTAAGCTGGATCGATACTGGTACAGGAGAGAAAAGGAGTAAGAAGTTCTGCTTTCAGCAGTATCTGGCAACACCTCTGGGGATTGCAGACCTGGGCAGAACGGCTGCCTGTACCTTTTTTGGTGGCCAGCTGCCGGGTCAGCAGCACCTGGTGGACACACTGCCTGCAGCCCTCCAGCAGCAGGGCTGGGCAGCCTGCAGGAGCCTGTGGCAGCCTCCTCATCATGGCCAACGGCGAATACAGCAGGGAGTGCAGGTGCCGAAAGCATCTCAGTGCCATGGCCATTGTTTACAGCTCACCTGGAAAGAGAAAAGAAGGGTGGGGTGCTCAGCTCGCTGAGCAGAAACGGCTTCAAGCCTTGGCTGTGTGTGTCAGGGCATGGTGCCAGCGGAGTGGTGCCAGCTGAGCAGTGACAGCTCAGTGGTGACAGCTGAGTGCTGCAGGCTGCTCCTGGTGCCCCTGCAGCTGCGTGGCTCAGGCCCAGGGACACGGCTCTGTCCCGGCCACCCAAAGGGCACAGCCTGGGGAGGCACAGCGGGAGGACCCTCCTTACTGGGTGACAGGGTGCTTGTGGCAACTTTAGCTTCCATCCTACCCTCTCTCAGGCTGAAAGGCATTATTATTATTTTAAAGCCCTTATTTCTGGACATTTACTGCGGGGAGCTCGGAGGTGTTGCTGCAGCACAGGGGCAGGCTGGGGCTGGGAGATCCGAGCTGCAAAAGAACTGAAGGGGAAGGAGGTGGAAGGCTGGGCTGGGCTGGGCTGGGCTGGGCTGGCTGGGCTGGGCTGGGCTGGGCAGGGTGTGCAATTCCGAGCCGTGCTGTGCCCTACGGAGCCCTACGGAGCCTGCAGAGCCGCTCAGCCCCGTCCCGAACCCCGCCGCCCAGGGCGCGCCACCCGCCGGGTCCATGGCGCGCCCCAAGCCCCAAGCCCCGCCCCCGGCCACGCCCCCTCCGCGTGGCCACGCCCACCCCGCCCCGCTCGGCCACGCCCCCTCGTGTAGCCACGCCCCCTTGTCGCTGGCCCCGCCCCTCCGGCCCGTTCCCCTCCTCGCTCCCCCCCCTCCCCCCGCCCCTGCTGGGGCCGCTGCCGGGAGCCCCGGTTGGGAGGGGGGGGGATGTGGGGGGGGCTCCGTCCTCCGCCGCCTCCCCGCTCACCGTCGTCGGGTCCCGCGCGCGCGCCGCTGACGTCACGGCCCCGCGCCGCCTGCGTCACCGACGGGCGCCGAGGGCGGGGCGAGGCCTGCGCGGGGCCCGGGGCGGCGGCGGCGGCGGGAGGAGGAGGAGGAGGAGGAGGAGGAGGAAGGGGGGGGGGGGGAGGTGATGGTGGGGGCCGGTCCCGGGCCGCCCCGCGCCGCCATGGAGCCGGGCCGCCAGGCGCTGCCGCTGGAGAACGCGTCCATCCTGTGCGAGGGAGCCCTGCAGGACGGGCACCGCCTCTGGATCGGGAACCTCGACCCCAAGATCACCGAGTGAGTGCCGCGGGGGGGGCCCCGACACCCCCACAGCCCCCCGGGGACACCCCTGGTGTCACCCCCGGTGTCCCCGTTCCCCCTCCAGGCCACCCCGTCCCCCCCGGCACCGCCCCCGTTACCCCTCCCGGTACTCCCGGTGCCCCCTCCCGGTGCCCGCCATTCCCCCGTTACCCCCCCCCGTTACCCCCCATTTCTCCGTATCCCCCTCCGGTGCCCCCCTGTAGCGGCCGAGCCCCCCCGGCCCCTCCCTGCTGCCCGCGGGGGCTCCGTGGCTGCGCTGAGCCCCGGCCCCGGGGGGCACCGGGGGGTACCGGGGGGGTCCGGGGGGTACCGGGGCTCGGCTGGGGCCGTGCTGCCCGCTCCAGGATCCATCATTCCAGCTCCAGACCCGCGTCCTGCGCTTGGTTTGGCTTCACAAAAGGTTTCACCCCGCTGAAGGTGGCATCGCCAGCTCGTCAGCTCCGTCTCCTTGCACTAAAACACAGAGGGAGCTCCTTTGGGTGCACGGAAATGAAGGGGTGGCCGTGTCACTGCTGCAAGCCCTTACACACACTGCCCCGTGTGTTCCTGTCCGAGGCTCCACACCCGTCCCTGCTCACCTGGATTATCCCCGCTGAGCCCACGGATCGTGTGGCTGGAGCCACGCACCTGAACGCTAAAACAGCTCTTCCTCCTTTTCCAGCTTTTATCTGATTTTAGACACTGCCCCTGCAATGCCTGTGTCAGGTTCCCTCAAGGTGCAGTAAAGCTGCGGGGCTGTTGGTAGGGCTGATCGTTGTGACTTCCTCGAGCAGGAATGGGTTCAGAAAGTCCTGAATTAATCCGAGACTTCCGCTTAGCGAGCAGCCTGCAGCTGCAATCGTGCGCTGGGGAGTTAATGGGTAACGTGCGCGTTCGAGCACAAGCTGCGGTAATGGGGATTTGTAAATGTAGGGCTGCCGGCAAATTACAGCCTGCACGCCGGTGCCTTTCGGGAGGTTTGTGCGTGTACCGAGCAGCTGTGGCTCCAACGGGGGGCTCGGAGGGGGTCGAGCACCAATGCCCCTTCTGTGTCAGGGTTCGGGGCGCCTTCTGCTGGGCGTCCTTACTGGTACCGGGTACTGGGGGGCTTCGTTTGGGTGCTCAGCCTCTGGGTTTGGTGTCGGTGAGCGAGGAGGCTGCGGGGTTCCCTCAGCATCGCTGCAAGCCTCTGGTGCAGCGTTTATCGCCCGGGGGAGGTGGGAGATGCTTTGTGCTGCTGCGTGGTGGAAAAGCCTTCAGAGACCCACATTTCGTGCCCAAACGCTGTGCTTCCAGCGCTGCAGCTACACGCACGCTGTCTGGTCCCCGGCAGCCCTTGAATGACCATGAATTGCCTGCAGGTATGAAGTGTGGATGTCCGACTTCCTCGGCTGCTCTGCCGCTTGTCTGGGGTCCCATCTCGATGAGTCTCACCTCGAAAACAATGTGTGCACGAGTTGTTGTTGCAGCCTCCTCCTGGCTCCCAGCGGGGCAGAATTCCTCGCAGTAATAGGTTTAGCATGTGGCCCGCTACCTTCGCGGCATCCTTGGGACGGCATTGTTCAGAGGAAGCCTCGCCGGGGTTTGAATAGCACTCGGGGTGCCAGGAGGAAGGCTGGAGGAAAAGGAAACGGGGGAGCTGCGGGTTTGTCTCGCGTTCACATCAGATGAGAGGAAGTGGAAACTGGGGCTGGCCGCGGGGCCGCATCTGTGCGAGCGGCTCCGAGGCTCTGGGTAGCCTGGGTCAGTGCCATAAAAACGCTTCCAACATGGTCACACTTTTTTTTTTTTACACTTGGGGTTTTCCACGACAGGTCTCCCTCGAATACTGAAGTCTTCTTCTCTTGGAGATGAGTCAAGCGCTGTCGATGCCTCGCTGTGTTCACACCGGCTTGTAGTCACAGCCCGAAACTTTTGGGTGCACACAGCTTGAGGTCTGAGCGGTTCCTTGTGGGGTAGCTGACTTCCAGTGGTAAAAATTGCGTGTGTGGTTGGAAATCCCTCTTTGTATCATCTAAGATTTAAAGCTCGTAAATTAAATAGACTACGTAGGTCGCTTCCAGGCTCTTCTAATAAAACATATTTTAAAGGAATGACTCCTGCTCTGCTGCCAAGAAAGCAGAAATAAACGGTGTTATTTGAGGGCAGAGGTGTGCGGGGGGACAGCCGCCACCACGAGGTAGCTGCAGGGCTTTCCCTCGTTGCTGAACGGGGTGCAGAGAGGAGCCTTGCTGCCCGTCCCGCGGCTCTCATTGCAAAAAGGGAACAGCACTCTGGTAGTAAGGACTTCACCTCCATGCTGCTGAAATTGCAAGCGCTTTTTGTAGGAATACGTTCACAGAAACAAACCTGGGGCATTTACACGCTCTGGAGGCTCTGACATTTCAACACGTGGGATTTATGTCGCACCTCCAAAGCCGGTGCTGTTACTGGTACAGCTGGGACTGCTCGAGGTGCGGCGCTGACGCCTGGTTTCTGTGGAACCGGCTCCCTTCTCTTCCTGCTCTTGTTTTTCTGTCTCTCCTGCCTGCGAAGCAGAGGCTGAGTGTTCGCGGGCCTCTTGGAAGACCCCAGCACTTCAGTGCTTCATCTGTGTCCTGAAGGACGTAGGAAGCGTCCCCTAATCACTTACAATGTGTTTATTCCCCTGGAAGATAACCTGGCCCTCCTGCACTGCGGGCCCGAACACTTTCTGTACCTTCACCTCTTTGAAAGTGCACATCCTGAACGTCCGCCGTGCCCGTGCTGGGAGATGACTCACGTTCCTGGAACTTTCTTGCTTGGCTCCTGAAGCTTACAAAGGGCCGCAGCCCGTTTCAGACATCCTATCGGGCTTTATTAGGAAAAATATTGTCTGTCCTTCCCGTTCGGACTGTCCCTAAAGTTACACGATGCACTTGGGTGTCCCGGGACACTGCTGATCTCTGTGTCTGGACACACGCTGTTCTGGCCACTGCCTGCCCGTGTGCAGCAGGATTTGTCCCTGTGGGTTTGGGAGCTGCGACTGTTCTCTCGTCAGGGAAGCTGGAAATTGGGCTGGGTTACACGCCTGCTAATGCTATCCAGCTAATTGCCAGGAGGAGTTGAGTCCTAAGATGCCCTTCGTAAGCCCTTGGACAGTTCTTGGTCTCCAGGTTTGGGGTCAGCCAGCGACTGCCCTAGCAGGTGCAATTTGCCGTGTAGGTCAGCCAGGGGTGCTCAGCTGGGATCGGGGGAACCAAAAAAGCTGTAAGGATCTTCCAGGTTTAGATGTGGCCTCTGCAACAAACAGGCTCCTGATTTTAGGCTGCTCGTTGCACTAGAGGCTGAGCAGACAAATGTACTCGGGCTGTTCCAAATGTGTTAAAATATCAACGTGTGGGGAGAGGGAATGAAGGAGAGGGAGCCCAGGCTGGAGGGGGATGGATGGTGGGCTGGGTGTGAAACGTGTGCCTGTGTGTGTGCCCTTGCTTTCCAAGCACTGCTAGGTGCAGTAAATGTCTCCTTTCCCCTTCAGGTACCACCTCCTCAAGCTCCTCCAGAAGTTTGGCAAAGTGAAGCAGTTTGATTTTCTCTTTCACAAGTCCGGTGCTCTGGAGGGGCAGCCGAGGGGTTACTGCTTTGTGAACTTTGAAACCAAACAGGTACGGTGCTTTTATGTAGGATTTTGTTTTAAATGACTGGCTTCTTTCCCCATCTCCTTCATGTCAATAAAAAGCTAAACCAGGAAGGGATTAATTAAATACTTAAATTAAATGCTTTCTCGTGCTGATTGCATAGGGCTGGTACTTTGGTTCCTTTCTCTAGCGAGCTGCTGGAGGTGTGCACTGGGGGTGCTGCGATCCATGCAGAGCCTTGGATCAGCCTGCCAGACCCAGAACTGCTCGGAAAGCCCTCTCAGGCTTCATGAACATGCAAACACCTCGTGTGATGCTGCCAGATACACAACACGCTACATCTGCAGTCTAAAATTCAAGTTGTAACACCAGAGCTATAGTTATTTGTCAAAATTCTGCTAAATTGTTAAAAAGTTATGTAAAGCAGCGTTTTTGGAGATTGTGTGCCCTCGTCCTTTTGCTGTGAAATCCTCCCTGAGGATGTCAGAAGAGCCGTGACGCGGTGCCAGAGCTCTGGAAGCTCTGCTGGGATGATTATTCATAGCCAGGCAGAACAGCACTGCAGCGCGCGTTTTTAACTGCTGTGAATTAAGTTTTATGGGAGTGTCCCAGAAGCGAGGTTTCACTGCTTAACCTAGATCAGGGCCAAGTGGCTAACGTCCCCAGTGTGCGCTAGCAAGATCTGGGGTAAGCATAGGTAGGTGTTTATGAGACGTGTAATCACTGTAATGAATCATGGCATTTTCGAGAGAAACCCCTGTAGCACAGACCTCCCCCGGCACGCTGTTCCAACAGCTCCTGCAGCTGAGCTTTTCAAAACCTGTGCTCGTCTTCCCCATTTCCTCCCCCCAACAACTGAAGGAGTCTGCCCTGCTGGTTTATAGAAGTCTGGTTACTCAGGTGGGTGTGGGAGGCTTCCAGATATTCCTGGGTTGGGATACAATGGGATAGATTTTCTTTGCTGTCCGTTAGCTTTACTTACAGAAGGCTGAGTTACAAAGAGAAAAGGGTCTTTAGTCTGCGACAGTTTTGACTGAGGACTCGGTTTGTTTATTGAACTGTCTTCCTGTGCGTCCTGTGCAGGAAGCAGAAAAGGCGATCCAGTGCCTCAATGGGAAGCTGGCCCTTTCCAAGAAACTGGTGGTGCGGTGGGCACACGCACAAGTCAAGGTAAGCCTCTTGCTCTAAATGAGAACTGCGTTTAGTTTGCGAAGGCAAAAATCTGTAATATTAAGGAACAATTCTTATCAAGGCTGCCTTATCCTGGCAAGATAATTTCAGTCTGTTCTGGGAAATAATTCTCATGGAAATAGCACGAACGATCTGCCACTCCTCTCTTCACCTAAGCTGTGCTGGATCAGCTATGAATGAGAATAGGCCGTTTAACCTGATGTTCTTTGTAAAGGAGCTTCTAATCAGGGCGCTGTTACAGGTTACTCTGTAAATGTCTGCATTTCAACTTTTCCCAAGCGTAGTGAATGATTGGCTGAAAGTCTGTATCCTTCCCTTTGTGGTTTTGCTCCCTTTTTGGATCGGAGATGCGTGGAAATTCCCAATTACCAGGCGCTCTGTTACTTTGTTCCACTTGTGAAAGCACTTATGTGGCAGCAGCTCTAATTACTTCTAAAGCAAGGTAGTTCACTTCTAAACTAAATATCATTTTATTGCTTGCTCTATTGCATAAAACATTAAGTGTTTAGTATTAACTTAAGCAGTACCTTCTGGAACATCCTTGTTTTAATGTCACTGAAGGCTTGTCTTGTTTCTCTTGCAGTTATTTGCTAACTGGTATTTGATAAAGCAACGTAGCTTGAATAACTTTCTGTGCAGAAGGCTGGGGGGAGGCAGGGGAACCTGCTTATTGCTATTTACCTGTGGGTAGCTTGCTTTTAAACATGTGTTGATTATCTTATAGACGACTTCCTAGCCTTTCTCTTACTGAGTGTAGCAGTGCATTTGTGTTGGAGTCTTGGGAAGGGAAAAGGGAAGGAAAAAAAAAATGAAAACCAAGGGCAGGTATCTTTGTTAAAGGAGACCATGTTGTTTTAATTACTGGCTCTGAGGGCTCCAGGCTCTTGTCAGCGCCTCCAAATGTGTGCAGATCCAGTCTCCGTTTTCTTGGGCACTGGAGCCACGGGCACCTCTGGGTGCCTGAAGAGCATTCGGGCCACAAAGGAGCTTCAGCCAGAGGAGCAGGCGGCGGCTCAGCTGGGACTTCAGAGGGCAGCTCAGTGCTGGGCCAGCCAGGGCATGGCACAGAGCATACATAAACAAGCAATTTCTAATCTGTGACTGGAAAGATTTAACAACACAAAACCTTAGCTTATTGCAACAAGTGTTTATTTTAGGCAATAGCAGCACTGTGCTAAGTAGCTTCAAGATGAGCAGCCAAGGCTTACCAGACACTGTCAATTTGAGCAGCTCTGCTGAAAAACAAACCTGAATTTGTGCCAAGCGCAACAAGGAAGCGGAGCACTGTGAATAGTTCAGGAGGCCCGTTGCCCACAGAGAAGACAGGCTCACAAGCTGCTTTTTACGGAAAGGAGGTGGTTCCCGACTGATCTGGAATGCATTTTTCTTCCAGCACTGCACAATTCAGAGGAGTTGGGTGCTTGGGTTATCTTCTCACTCTGAACAATGTCTCTATAAAGGCTGTAGTGATGCCGCGCAGTAGTTGCCTTAAAATTTAACATCTTTACTTTGTCTTATATAGTTGGGAACAGGAAGTAATAAAATGGGATGAGGTGTAAGGATCCATAGTACAATGTACGTAAGTGTGCAGGATCTACACATCATGTTGGCACTAAACAAGCATCGTGGTTAGGGTTTGTTGTAGTGTTTGGCCATGAAAATCATTCAGTTGAAAGATTCACAAAACCCAAGGTGATATTAATCCAGATTTAAAGCATATCCATAAGCAAATGTTTTTGTTTGTAATTCCAGTTGACTTGAATGTTGGTTTTCTGTTTGCAGAGATACGATCATAATAAAAATGAGAAGATTCTTCCAATCAGCCTGGAGC